ATTTTGTGTGTGTATTTTTATTTTGTGTGTGTATAATGTATTTTGCGTGTGTATAATGTATTTTGCGTGTGTATAATGTATTTTGTGTGTGTATTTTTATTTTGTGTGTGTATTAATATTTTTATTTTGTGTGGTGGCCCTTGTGAGCCACCGTAGATAATTAATAACTTTCTTTAAACTTTTGTATGTAAAGTATATTTATTTTTTTATTTGTCATTATAAACTTTGAATGAAATGATAATTTTTGATGTAATCAGTTTTGACAGTGTTTTTAACATCAAACCGTTCCCCGTTTTCTCTCGAAGTGTACCTAGTAGACTAAAGCAGTTGATTTCAAAACAAGCCAAATAATAATGGTAAATTCTGGTTATTTAAAAACAACGAGAAGATATTGTAAACTGTTACACAAATGCAGAATGATTTGATAAATTGTTTAATGTATTTCCCTCGTGTCGAGTGAGACTTATTCAAGCTCTTGACCAATCACCGCACCGCATTGTGTTTATTTTATGTCGTCTGATGACGCCTAGATGACGCCTGAAGCAGAACAACCTGATTGGCTGAAATGCAGTGTAAGGCAATCATTTTTTGAGTAATGGTAAATGTGATATAGTTTTATATTTAATCTGTCCTTTCATCTTTGCTGCCCTGGCTTACTTCTGTAGCGTGGAAATTTTCCAACGTAAGTTTATAATGTACTATTTTCATGAAAGCATTTTACACTTCTGTTTTAAGCATTTCGATTCTTATAAGTAAACGTTCAAAGACGAGTCTAATTGAGAGCACGCGGTTTTTGTGAGCACTTTAAATATCGATTTGTGTCATATGTTTAAGTGTGACTTCATGTTTTCTTTATCCGTTCTTCTTCCAGGCTTTTAGGATGAATAAATATCCAATAATTGGGAAACGTGAACGTTCTAATATCAAGGAAAAGCGAACTACTAAAAACAATGAAGATGTTGAGAAATATGTGACTGTTCTTGGCGACTGGCGTTCCCAATTGCGTACCCTAGACAGACATGAAAGTGCTGGTAGAACTGACCGCCACTTAATTCGCTCATTTTGTGTTCTTCATCAGTGTCTTGTATTTTGTTGTATCTTGTTGGACAAGGTAAAGACATTATTGTCTGATAAAGGCAAACTCACTTATGAAAAGATAAATCAACTGAATGATCTAAAAGTAGATCTTTACAAGTTAACCAAGCTTCTCGATGAAATAAATCTGATCTACAACAATTTTTGTGGCTTTAAGCAAGAAATTACAATTGAGTATGTGTATGAATTTAATCTTGATAATGCTTTGAGTAGTATAGAAAGTGCCATTTCCAATCTAAACCATCCTGAGATAAATGATCTCTTTGACTTGGATATCACCCCAGAAGATGTTCTGTGCTCAGTGCTTGGTTTGAAAGATGAGTTTGCTTGCAGGCTTCTCGAACAAACTCCTTACATGAGAAAACACAAAAGTGAAAAGGTACATTTGCTAATATTTTAAAGGAGTTTAAGGAAGAAGACAGCATAAAAATCTCAGAGATGGTGAAAAGGTTGCTAAAATCTTGTGCAAGATTGGTTTTACAAAGCATCGATCTGAATTTATTGCTAATTGGATAACCAACATGGCAGATCCAAATCACAAACCAATTTTCTCCTGGGTGGAAACTTACATTGAAAATCATTTTAAGTATGATATCTTCTTAAATGATCAAGTTTCGATTTTCCTTTCAAAATGATAATCAAAATGAATGGTTTACTGTGAATATCCCACGCTTAGATGAAGAGGGAAGACATAGTCATCCTATAAATATGATCAATGTTGAATCGCAAGAAGATGCTCTACACCATGTTGGATCAAAGTTGCTGAACTAAATGAAAATAATCCTGAGACAGAAGTATATTTCCATTGTACTGATCACGAAAGTGCTGTGGATATTCTGGAAATTGGAATTCATCTGGGTTTTGGTCGAAAGAAATCAGACTTCTCTGATGGAGCAGGTTTCTACATGGTAAATAATGCAAAGTTCTCATTAGAGCAATATGGATTGAGCAGTACACATCCAGCTATTATCATGTTTGATGTGAGTCCTCGAAAACTGAGCAAGTTTAAAGGAATTGATTTATCCAGTGCTGAAAAAGACAAAGATTGGAAATTGATTGTTGAGTATTTTCGCTCAAGTAGCCATGGTATTGGTAATTTATCTAAGAGTTTGTTCTCACACATAAGACAATGTGATTACATCAGAGGGCCTGTTTCTATAAATGGTTCTATTGAAAATAACACATTATCTCAAGGTGTTGAACAAATTTGCATAAAAAAACGAGAATTGGCCAAGCTAATTGGGCATCCATCATTAATCTTAGGCGTGATTTTTCTTAAAGCTCATGAACTGATTCAAAAGGGAAATGAGCTTGGCAGTAAAGATGACGACCATGATATGGCAGAATTGAAGATTGAGCCAATAATGATCGACAAAATCTAAACATGCATTATAGTAATAAGCATTTGAAAGTTGATTTTGTAAGTTGTTGTAAATTTCAGGAACCTTTAATCTTATAACCGACAGGTGTTATACCCAAGAACAGTTGGTATAACATATTTTATTGTATACTTATATGTAGAACCAACAGTAGATCATTGTAAACTATGATTATCTTTTTACTATTTATACCTGAACATTGTGACATACTTAAGTTTGGAAACGAACTATTTACTGCTTGTTGTAGATTAGATAATTTGATTTGGCTTTTGTATGATGTCATGATAAATATTAAAAAAAATTGGAATTTTTGTTCTTTAGTATTCATTCTGTTAGGATTGTACTTACAGCTTGTTGATGATGCCTTTAGAGTGCTGAGTTTTCTTACTTAAAAAAATTTGCAAAATAACACTGGTTTGCCCTTTGTACAACTACACAAATCACAAATGTTTCTAATATTAAAGGCAAATCAGCAACATGTTACTGCATATCACGTGATGATTTGAATATTTATATATAGTCAATGGCGCGGTATATTTATGGCTTTGTTATTGCGAAGTTGAGGGTCAGTGTTTATTTGTTGCTTTGAATTGTATTCAGAGCTACAAAATTTCGACAATGACTTCAAGAAAGCGTTGCTACAATGGATTAAAACATGCAAAACAACATATGATATTATTTTTCATTTTATTCGGCGTACTTTGTGGATTTTTACTCGGCTCTTTATTACATGGCAATGTTCAGTCGTCCTTAGATCCAACACCGAAGGAATATGCAATGTACGTGTCTTTTGGTGAGATTTGGGTGAGAGCTTTAAGACTTTTGGTTCTTCCTTTGATTGTATCCAGCTTGCTTTTAACAGTCGCTGAATTGGAGTCAAAACAAAGCGGAAAATTGGGAAGAAGAACATTGCTGTATTGTCTTATGACTATAATGTTTAGGGAGTAATTTGTTTATTTGCATTTAACCTGGAAATGTCAACGTGAAAGAACCAGAACCGAACGAAGAAAACGTTGAACCAATACATTCTGTGCTTGATCTTATAAGGTTTGTGCTAAATATTCATAAATTTACTGAGTTTGCGCCCTGCTTTTGCGTTCACTGCAAAATTTTCTTATACGTATAACTTTTATTTCTATTATTTAACGACAATGTTTTTTACTTTTTCAATATGAACATAATAGCCCAACATAAGACATTTAAAAAAGCCATCGCAATAATAAAATAAAGAAAGATTAAAGGTTTTTTTAATAATTACGTTTCTTCTTTAACTTAAGACATCTTCAGATTATTTGAGATATATTATATACATGAGATTTTAAATACAAGCATATATTACAGGGTGTTAAATTACATGTGAGGGGAGTAGGAGGTTTAGATGAAGGAATGAAGTGAGAAGGGCGGTATATTAAAGAAGGTGAAGGGGGATTGAGTTGCCTTGGGTGTTAAGAGAGGGTTTGAGTTTCAATATTAGAAGGCTTTCATGAATCATAAGGTCATAACTGTCGGCTTTTTACTTTACTAAAAGAAACCTTTTTTTATTAGAACGTAAATGCTTCTTTTGCAAAACTGTGCAAGTGTGGAGATTTCTAAGTGTGTAGAAACCATTATGAATCAACAATAATAAATACATTTACAATATTAGTTGTAAATACATTTTATTATGACATATGAACCATACCAAAGAGAGCAAAGGTAATGTTACAAGATCATAATAAGAACATCAAGATTTTAAATTGATAAGTTAATCTGAAACACAGCCTTTACAACAATGACATTGAAATATAAAAATTACAATAAACCTTCCACACTCTACTCATCACACACTCAATTTCTCATCTCTTTGAGACAGTGAGTGGAAGGTTTATTGAAATTTTTTGAATTTCAAAGTCAAAAAGATCTTTACTCCTTTTGAATTTTAAAGCTGCATTATATTTATGCCAAAAGTTTGCTGAGATTTTGCTTACGATTGTAATATGTGACAGCCAGGGTTATGTGTTTATTAGCATAATTATCAGTCAGCCAAGCTTTTTTGAAACCATTATGAATCAACATTAACATCATGTGACATCGTATACATGAACTGTTCTTAACCAATAGAGCTATACCTCATATTCATCACGTCATTTTAACTTTTAAATATGTTTATGTCAAGATTTCAATTGTAGAATGATTATTATATATACTACTGAACATTGTGTACAACAAGACAACTGTCAATAAATGAGTTGTCAAGGAAAATGAACCTTAAGAACCAAGAATAGCACGAAGCTTTGATTTACACCACTGTATATGACAGATCATTCTCATTGAAATGCATCAAATTGCAATATTGCTACATAAACACAATGAGGATGAACATTTTCATGTTCACGAAAACAAGATTTAATTATTTATAGATGTTCCAAATGTGCACAGCAATGTAATTATATCTTACAATAGCTGCACCAGGCCTAAATAACATACAATGATAAAAAATCTTTTGAAAATTTCACGGTATGATTGTAAGCTGTTTTCTTCTTTAAGATAAATCCCATTTCACCACCTACCTATGTTGTCACGACAACAACAATGAATCAAGAAGAAGGTTTGAAAGCTTTGGAAACATCTATCAAAGCCATTGAAGAAGTCATTATGAACAAGAAAGGAACATTTGTTTTACAACAAGCTGTAAGTGTTTGGTTTATATTTCTATGGAAAGTATATTGTATCACTAAAATGACATCCCCCTGGTGCCTCTACTGTCCTCATATCATCCTGTTACCATTTCCCTAAGTACCCCATGCTGTATTAAGACGGACATATTCAATCATTAGTCGTTTATTTGAAAATTACAATGACACCATCCCAATGCATTGAAATGAATAATATTAGGACCCTGTGACTTTGGCAATAATTTATGTTAACTGTCCACAAAAATTAGTTTTTCCTAAAGCTAATTATGCATTGTGATATCATAACAATGTCTTTAGTAAATTGCCACTTTAGGAAATTGGTATAGTCCTGAGAAGGACTGTTTTTTGTTGTTGTTGACTGATGTTCAACCACCGCTATGTAAGAACCAGATAACAAATACGGCTAACCTGACGTTTACTCCTCATTTGACTCTGAAGATGACTACAGCTAAGGTTGTCGAAACGTCAGTCAACAACAACAAAAACAGTCCTTCTCAGGACTTTATTAACCTGGACGATCATCATTTACAAACATATAACGATACTCCCGGGTTCAAACCATTTACTTTAAGTTAATTTATAAAAGTAACAACAAGAAGTAACACTGTCTGTATGTATAATATGAAAATATTAAATTAGGAATAATTTGACAAGCAGTTTTCCAAAGTTCATTTTACAAAAATTTGCATGCTAAAGGCAAGCGGTAGCAAAGCAATTGCTTCATTTAAATCATTCATCTTTACATGTATATGTTGCAGTTGACATGAAAGTTAGAACTCAGCCAATAGCCAATTAAATCATGTCAACTGGAGCCTAAAGAATAATTTCTGTATTTTGTTCAATTTGTTGCTCACCTGCACAAGATCAACACATCCATTAACACCAACAATTATATGGTGTCATATATGTAGCTCTCAGTCTCCCAGTGTTTGTGTGTAAGTATATTATTTGATATCATCTGGATTCATGTTACTCAGTTGTTTTCAGCTTGGAATCACTTAATCACTTTGCAGCTTGGAATCGCATAAATTTGCGAAGACGTCTCTATAATCGTCGCAAGTAAAGCACCGGAAGTAGATATACTTATGCTCGCTCGAGCTTTCTGTCGGCTTTCCAAGCGCGTGACACTTATATAGCAGTGTATTTTAATATTTCAAGAAACAAACATTACATTTTGCGAAAGACATGGACTTATAGGTCCAATAAGTCCCATTCCCCTTTGTTTAATGTAATGTGTAATCTGTCCTACACAACAAATCATTTCCATGCTCATAATCACTGTATGTATGTAAATAGAAGGCTAATGTGCCTTGAATAATGGCCGCAACTTGGACTGTACCATGCACAGCATTCTATTTACAACATACAGTCATTATGAACATGGAATTTGTTACATGTTCACAGCATGTACTTAACTTATACTCCAGACAGTTAACCCTTTAAAGCAAATGAAGATGTCGTGATGAACGAATCCGGTATAGAGTAAACACAGCCTTATTCCTCAATACATGACCCGGTGCTCCTGGTATTTTACGTATATTACGTGTATGGCAATTAGTGTCCGTCCGACAAATGGTGTTGCATTTTTAATCAATTGCTACTAATTTGATGTTGGAATTTTTATAAAAGGATTTGAAACACTGTGGGCGTGGGCATCTGTAGTGATCATCCTATTAACACATAAAATGTACTCTTGCCAGCATGCGGTCAATAAAATACTCTTGCCGTTAAAAGCGCCAATGATAACATGAAATCACATTGCTTTTCTAACCGAGTGAATCTCCTTGATGCAAATCAGCAACCGTTCATAAAGCCATTTTATTGCTATTGTTATAAAATGTACTTTTGTCACCATGTGTGATGCAGACTTCGTGTGACGATATGTCTTACTCAAGAGATCTTCAGAAATTTTTGTGGCGTTTTAGGCCCCGTTTACACTATACCGGGTTGCTATCGTAGCAGGTTGAATATTCTTTGTATTAAAAGGCAGTCAAATTGTTTAACGTCAGAAACACAATCAAATAGACTAATTCTAATGAAATGAAGATGTCGTGGTGAGCGAATCCGGTAAAGTGTAAACGCTTCTTCTACAATACATGACCGTTTGTTCGTGGTATTTACGTGGGTGTCAATTAGTGTCCGTATTACAAAAGGAAAGGAATACTATGTTTTGAATTTTTATAAAAGGAATTTGAAACACTGTGAGCGTGTGGGTCACTACGATGCGTTTTTTGCATTTGAGTGTGATTTCTCTTTATCTGCGTGGGTGCATACGCCATGCTGTGCATGGATAAATATGATCTGATATCTTTAATCTTATTGGTGGAGTAAGGTTTTATTAAGAAACCATCCAAAGAAGTGTCATATAAACAGTGACAGCCGTCTGCACAGAACCATAGTGGAAAACTAAAAGCGTGTATTTCTTGTATATTTCTTTACGTGGCTAACTTGGCTTTAAAAGAAAAGGTAGATATGACTTATCTATTTTATTTTACACTAAGTAATAAAATAATTTTCTATTCTTACGATTCGAACCATCCATTTCAACAACTCTTCGTCAAATGATAGTATGAAACAAGTTTCATACATTTCGGCATTTTTCATGCTGGATCGTTTTTCCGATCATTTTGAACTAATTTTTTGATATCAAAAATATACTGCAGTACATTTTAGCAAAGTTATCGACATTGTGAACTAAAATTATTTTGACTCCGAGGAAACCCCGCAATTAGAGCAAACCCCGCGTTGTTTATTTGTCTGTTTTTTTCGCTTTAGGAAAAAATATTCGCAATTTTAATTTATTATTATTATACTGGGTGAAAAAAAATCGTCTATGATCTTCAATTTTTTCTACATTTCTATGTAGTCAGTGTGGGTCATATGCGTACAATCCTACAATCCCGCATATGTTTCAGAAAATGGTCACGTGATATAAAAACAAAATACTTATAAATTCCAGACGGAAGGATGTACTTTGCACATTTCAGAACATTACCATTGATAATTTCTCTAGAAATCTATAGTTTCACCGTCTGAGAGTGGTGAAATTTGAAATTCTTAATAAGTTGGCTATTTTGTAGAATAGTCCAGATTATGCCTCTTTCCCTAATCTAATTATCTTTAGATCGTCATTTACAAAAAGATGAACAACAAAGGTGAAAATACCTGTGCTAAAAAAGAAAACAACGGTAAAGAAAATTATTACAATGGGTTAGAAGATGGGAACATAAGATACGACAGTGCAGTGGAAAATGAAAGTATGGAAGATGGTGAAAATACTCAACCAATTCTAAATTTACCCATTCAAGAAACGCTTCCTGAACAATTTTTGTTTGACCTGCAAGACTTGACAAGAGAAGATGGATGTGCGATGGAAATGCTGAACAAAGATTTGGTTTTGAATGTTCCATCAACGTTAGAAAAACTTTAAAGATTCGTCAACTTCAACGTAAAATGATTTATACTAAGAGAAATAAATCATGTACATTTTTTATGATAAATAGGTTTGTGTAAAACGCAAGAACTCAAGAAAATATTTTGTTTTTACCATTCAATAATCAATGGACGAAAGGCATACTTTAATCTTATGTACTAATGAACCATTTAAAATAATTTGTACGTTTTTGTAAATCTCTTTCTTAATAATATTTATTTTAATGTAATTATTAATATTTATTGAATGGTAATTTTTTAGTGCTGTCATTTCATGCGTTATAATGTATAAACCACTGATATAAACTCATGCATTCCTGCATAATTGTTTCCATAGAAATTATTTATGATGCTAGTTTGCGTCGTGAGACATTGTCTTCAGGATGAAATCGACTGAGTGAAATCTTTTAATTTTAGCAAACCATCCTCACTACCAATTATGTATTTTTCCATTGCCAAGTTTACAAATTTTTTAGTATTTACTGCCAGTTGTAGATTCGATAAAGAACAGAATGTTTTGAAATACTGTTTGTAAGGGCTCTTATAGTGATTTCTATTTTATTTCTTCCTATCACAAGTTTCCCAATTATTGTGATGACGACAAATAGCTTTTGTTTTGTGAATTAGTTTAGCCTTCTCTCATTTATTTCAAAGCGTTTAAAAGGGATTTCCCCCTTGGCTGTTAAAATCTGGGAAGAAAAACACGTGACCTAAGTCTCTAATATGTATTGAATATTTATATACAGTCAATGGCGCGGTAAATTTATAGCCTTTGTTATTGTGAAATGTGAAGTTGAGATTCAGTGTTTATTTGTTGCTTTCAATTGTATTCAGAGCTGCAAAATTTCGACAATGACTTCACGAAAGCGTTGCTACAATGGATTAAAACATGCCAAACAACATATGATATTATTTTTCATTTTATTCGGCGTACTTTGTGGATTTTTACTTGGTTCTTTATTACATGGCACTGTTCAGTCGTCCATAGATCCAACACCGAAGGAATATGCAATGTATGTGTCGTTTCTTGGTGAGATTTGGGTGAGAGCATTAAGACTTTTGGTTCTTCCTTTGATTGTATCCAGCTTGCTTTTGGCAGTCGCTGAATTGGAGTCAAAACGGAGCGGAAAATTGTGAAGAAGAACATTGCTGTATTGTCTTATGACTACAATGTTTGGGGAGTAATTTGTTTATTTGCATTTAACCTGGAAATGTTATCGTGAAAGAACCAGAACCGAACGAAGAAAAAGTTGAACCAATACATTCTGTGCTTGACGTAATAAGGTTTGTGCAAAATATTGATAAATTTACTGAGTTTGCGCCCAGCTTTCGCTTTCATTGCAAAAATCTTCTTATACGTATAAGTTATATTTCTATCAGTTAACGACAATGCTTTTTATTTTTTTTAAAGGCAACTTTATTTATTATAACGTAAATGTTACGTTGGCAAAACTGTGCAAGTGTACGAGATTTTCGAGCGCATACGGAAGTCGCGTTATCGCAATATTCACTAGATTATTAACCTTCTATTTGTGACAAACTTGCCTTAAGTACAAGAGGTGGCTATGACTTTTTATACATTATTATATTCATATTTGACACTTTTTTTACTATGCCATACGAACCACAACTACCAAAGTGATCAACACCACAAGATCGTAATGCTATGTTATAGAATACCCGTCCACTCACTATCTACTTATATAATATGCCTTGTTCTTTATACTTTGTTCTTTATTTTGACCATTAAATGACACTAAATGATACTTGATAAATAATAATTGAGAACTAAACGATATTTTAGTTTAACTTAAGCCTGTAAGGGTGCCTTTAAAAATGGACGGGTATTTTATAATCGCTCCGAGATCTTAAATGGATAAGTTAATCTGAAACAAAACCTTTACAACAATGACCTTGAAATATAAAAATTACAATAAACCTTCCACACTCTACTCATCACACACTCAATTTCACATCTCTTTGAGACAGTGAGTGGAAGGTTTATTGAAATTTTTGAATTTCAAAGTCATTGTTCTAAAGGCTATGTTTTAGAATAACTTATCCATTTCAAATCGTTTTATTTCACAGCTTTTAACCTTTTAATAACAAAATCATTGTTAAGTGATTATTGCTGTCATTAGATTGTTTCATTCCTAAACAGTTGATCTCTAAACAAGTTAATTATGACGGCCAATTTTTATAACATTGACCGCAAGACGTAAAATTGGCCGTTTGACTGTAAATCATGATTTTAATCTTCCTTGCCGTAATATTTCGCATTTTAGGCTCTTGTCCACTGCTCACTGCGAAATTTAACTGTGAAGTGTTAAGTAAAGAAAAGGTTGATGAATGCTATGTAGCTGATCTTCAAAGTACGTAAAATGTCTTATGAGATATTATTGCCTATAGAAAATTTTACTATGTTAAATTTTAGCGACGAAGTTCACTTTACATATCTGTGAATATCAACCATATTTATAGCACAGTAACTTGTAAGAACGTATTCTTTGGAGACAATGATTATCTCGTTATTATATTCCCTGGGAAACACATTTTATTGAGCTGGTGGCTCATGGCTTGTGTATTCTAATTTCTAAAGCAAAGTTCAATATTTATAATTTCTTCACAAACACGACACAAAACGGGCATTACACGCGACAACAGAAAACTGCATAGTCAATTTAGTCAAGTAGGACTTTTGCTTACCCAGGGCCGGCTACACTGAAGAATTTTTTTGTGACAGAGTTTTCTGTAATTTTCCTCTAAAACAATTATATTGTTTCTTCCCTTAATACGCTCTGTCCGCAGATCTTACGATGCACTGTCCTACATTCACATGATGGGTATGTTAAGGGACTTCCCCTTGCAGAGGAAGCATATCAGATGAAGTGACTGTTGCATTATGGGTATTTTGCATGGGTGAAAAAAAAAGAAAAAAGTTTCCTAAATACACCATGCTGCGTCTTGTTCCGTTATAAAGTAAACAAACATATCTTGTTCCGTTGTTGTTCAACATTGTGGAATGGCAGTCATCGTGGTTGTTGCATTGCACTGGTGTGTCATGTAGCTGTGGCAGAATGAATGATTTAAGTTGTTAAAGTTGGTCAACTGTATTTACATTCGATTTTATACAAAGTAAGGAAAGGAGCGAAAAAGGTGAAAAAATCCAGAGCTTACTTTAATCAAATACGGACGAGAATAAAGATATAGAAAAAAATCGCTAGAGCTTGAAGAAAGTACATCAAGACGAAAATAATAATTCCCGTTCACAAAACGTTCCAGAGAGTGTTGCAGAGGATCAAGGAATGGAACCTGGAGCAGAAATTCAGACTGAATATTTAATATTTTTACTCGTACTTTTATATTTGGAACTTCTTATTGAATTGTATGATTTAAATTTTCCTTCAATTCCTGATGAACTGTAAATATCTATAATTTGTACAAGTGTGCCGTGAACATAATGATAATTGAAATATTTACTAATTAGAACAAATGTACTTTTCGATGTCGTATTTTCTATTTTTAAAACGCCCACTTATCTATTTGATAACCTCAGAGCCCTCTATTTTTAAGAGTTGGGACATCTATTGTTATCCGTTTGATTGGGCAATATTGATCACCTGATCAATTTCCGCTATTTTGGTTCCTAGTTTCGAAAATTTGAGCTTGTGTTTATATAGCAATTGCTGCTAGTAATACAGTATTTTGAGATAATATTGCGTTTTTTTATGGATAAGTTTGTAATAACTGATTGTTGACGGCTACTAAATGTCATTACATATCGCCAGAATCGAGGATTACGAAAAAAATGAAAAAAATGCCTTTACGTCAAACGTATGATTGCGTTTGGCGATTGTTGTGCTGAACTGCTTTTGATATAAGGTTCAATTAACTGACTCAAGTAGAGAATTCTACTTCGAGTAGTGAGTATTTTTGGTAATGAATTCTACGAATGTACCCTACTTCTGTAGCTCAGAGCAGAACATTACTTCTTTTCTAGACTTGTCAATTATATTTTAATTGTAGGTTTTGGTTTATAAGATCACAGAGGCATATCTCCATAATTTCAGCTGTTTGGGCTTTTTAATGTATATTACAAATGTTGCTGCCTTTCTCATATATATTAAAATATTGCTGGCTTTTTGATATATATTTGGGTGCTGCTAGCTTTTTGATCTTTATATTTCACTGTCAATACAAGGCATAGAATTTGAACAAACGGGGTTGAGCCCCCTCCAAACACACCCCTGTATGATCATTAAACACATACAGAAGTTGTGTCATTCCTCAACCCATTAATTTAACTCTTTGCTAAATTAAAGATTGGATCAGACTCATATGCTGTATAAAAGACTACAAACAGTAGCATTTATAGCAAACAGACTGTTCTTCAACAACAGAAATGTTTCATATTATTATGGAGTTCATTGGGATAACCTGGGTTCGGAAAATCGATTACGTCACTGAATACGTCACAAACCATTTTCACGACAGACATCGAATAATAATCGGCGAATACCGATAGTTTCCACCGGATGTTTCCGACAATCGGTTAAGTCAGTCATGTAAACTCAAACTGTAAACTTGTTCGTCTGTATTTAAAGTATTACCGTTTGAGGTTCTTGAAAAGTTTTCAATGAAAAATGCAACTGATTGAACAATCTGCGTTATATCTTTGTACATATTTTGTGCCATCATCAACATAACGAATTGTTTGTATTTCTATTTCAAAATCGAGCGACGTTTAATATTATGACTTCATTTAGGTAAGTTCTATTGTACTGTAATCATTGATCATCGTTAGACTTTATAAAAAGATCTTTACTCCTTTTGAATTTTAAAACTGCTTTATATTTATGGCTTTATAAGTTTGCTGAGATTTTGTTTACGATTGTAACATGTGACAGCCAGGGTTATGTGTTTATTAGCGTAATTATCAGTCAGCCAAGCTTTTTTGAAACCATTATGAATCAACATTAACATCATCTGACATCGTACATAAACTGTTCTTAACCAATAGAGCTATACCTCATATTCATCATGTCATTTTAACTTTTAAATATGTTTATGTCAAGATTTCAATTGTAGAATGATTATTATATATACTACTGAACATTGTGTACAACAAGACAACTGTCAATAAATGAGTTGTCAAGGAAAATGAACCTTAAGAACCAAGAATAGCATGAAGCTTTGTTTTACACCACTGTATAAGACAGATCATTCTCATTGAAATGCATCAAATTGCAATATTGCTACATAAACACAATGAGGATGAACATTTTCATGTTCACGAAAACAAGATTTAATTATTTATAGATGTTCCAAATGTGCACAGCAATGTAATTATATCTTACAATAGCTGCGCTAGGCCTAAATATCATACAATGACAAAAAATCTTTTGAAAATTTCACTGTTTGATTGTAAACTGTTTTCTTCTTTAAGATAAATCCCATTTCACCACCTACCTATGTTGTCATGACCATAACAATGAATCAAGAAGGTTTGAAAGCTTTGGAAACATCTATCAAAGCCATTGAAGAAGTCATTCTGAACAAGAAAGGAACATTTGTTTTACAACAAGCTGTAAGTGTTTGGTTTATATTTCTATAAAAAGTATATTGTATCACTAAAATGACATCCCCCTGGTGCCTCTACTGTCCTCATATCATCCTGTTACCACTTCCCTAAGTACCATACTGTATTAAAAATGGGACATTATCAAAGTTCACGTATGACGTCATCATTAGTCATTTAATTGTTAATTACTATGACACCATTCCTGTCCTTTAAAATCAAAAATATAATGACCCTGTTAACATTGACAATATTTATCTGCAAGAATTGAAACAAGAAAATGACATGAAGTAATGGGTGTAAAAATTAAAAAGCCAAACAAAGTTAAAAAATTTTGTTTAGATAATTTCATAGAAGCACTATTGCTAATGCGCAGTTAATATACACGACGAGTTTTTTTAAAACAGACATGTTTCGACATCTCATGATGCCATCTTCAGTATAAGTGAAATAATAAATAATACAAGGTTTATATAAAAGTAATATGATACATAAATTACAACAATAATAAGGAAATAAGATAAATTAATGGAGGGCGTCCAAGCGTATTATAAACTAAATATTGTATTGAATTTAAAAACTTGAACATTGAGGTCAGGGTTAGTTTTGTTAATGTGGAGTGCTTCTTTGATTTTAAGGGAGAATGAGGTTTCGCCAGTGTCGATGATTTTGAAACAAGAGGGTGAATATTTGGTTTTGCACGAGTGAGATTTAAGGTGTCGGTAGATATGAGAGTTTTTGTCTGTTGTGGTATGTTCCCTGATTCTGGTGGATAAATGACGCGAAGTTTCGCCAATGTATCGGGAATTACATCCCGCGCAACTGAATTCATATACCACCATAGATTTAATTGAATCAGGGATTGGGTCTTTGAATGAGAAAAGGTTTTTGATTTTGAATGATGTGAAAATTAGTCGAATGTCAATATCTGTACAGAAGCGTTTCATAATGTTTGTAAGTCTGCGTTGTGTGTGTCGTGAGTAATGTCCGATGTATGGTAGTTTGAAGTATAGAGTTGTTATTTTGGAATTTTCATTTGTGTTGGTTGTGATCGTCGTGTCAGGAGTTTCGGTGTCTAGGTTGAGGTTGTTGCTTTGTTTATTGTCGATATCGTTTTACGGTTCTGTTAATAAAGTTAAGTGGGAAAGAGTTTCGTAAAAGAGTGGATGTGATGTTTTTTTATGTCTCGTTAAAAGCCATTGTTTGTATTGTTAAGTTTGTATGCTCTGTCGATTAGTGTGCGATGAATTGGCACATTACAAGTCGATTGTTGACTCAAACCTTCACTTTACCCACAGATTTTTAACCTTAATCATTACTGACCAAGAGCTTAGCAATCTACTTTTGTGTTTATTTTGTCAGTTCTTCTCATTATGTCAGATACATGCCAATCAAGGTTAGGGGTTGAAATGTACTTGTAAATCCTATTGCCATGACTTTGCATTCATGCAAGAAATTTGTTGATTTCAAATGATAAATTTAAGCTATAAATTTCTATCATTGATTATCATTGTTATCTGTTCAGCCAAAGGTTGTCACAGATATGGATGAAGCAGACTTTGCAAAGGAACTGGAAAAACTTGAATGTCAAAATGCAGAAGTTGATGGTGATGACGATAATCCTGATGATGAAGAAAAACAAGATGAAGCATAAATGATTGTGGTTTGTTTTAAAACTTGCTGTGTTTTATTTTTATCATACACTACCTGCAGTTGCCTTGAACAATAATTTGTTTAACTTCAAACTCCATTCAAACCCTATACATTACAAACACAATTATTTTCTATTGACGATCCGAAATAGATATTTCATTGTCAGTATTTCGCGAGGCAGTTTTTGAAGGTCCCCTGTTCGGGTTAAACTGCAGCTCTGAATTTGTAGTTTGTGATGAATAGGACATTTGTCATCGTGAAACTATTGTAAATGCCAAGTCGTTGAAATGAAAGCATATTTAGAAAAGAGATTATTAAATTAAATATTGCTAACAATTTCCTACGAGCGAAAACTTTCCTTGAACTTTTTAATCATAATTGATCCAAGATTCAAAATATCTTATCAAAATTGGTTATGAATTATGACTGTCGATGCTATAGTTTGTCTGTCGCTTTCCATTGTCTGACCCTGAGTTTAAATTTCATGTTAACTTAATCTCGACGTTCACCTTTGCCGTTTATCAGAACTTATACAGTCAGTGAAGTTCGTTGAAAATTTCTAATACTCCTTTCTAACTTTATATATCATCAAATGAAATCGAGAATATTTCAAACGCGGAAGTGTATCATGACGTTAACTGTATTAAAAAGTACAAAAGCTCACAAAACAATAGTTTCTCCATTCGCAATGTCGACATAATCATAAAGCATTTGTAAACAATTGTAACATAAAGGAAATTTGTAGCATTTGTAACATAAAGGAAAATATGGCTAGTTTTATGAAACAATGATGTATCGTATCGTATCGCACATGTATTTCGTTTCGTACATTTAAGCCTCCTTTGAGAGATGTTTTCTTCACCAAAGTCAAGATGTTAATGAAACAATGATGTATCATATCGCCTATGTTTTTCGTTTCGTTGCCCGAGTCGAAAAATCAAAAAGTTATCATTCAAGGGTCCCCGCACCTTAAAGGAAACTACCTGCCTTTACTTCATTGTTATTCATTTTCCCGCCTAAAAGTCATGTGACTAAATAGTAATTCAAGCACTTTGTTTACGTTTGCCTTGATTGTACAAATGAATTAAACGATCAAGACGTCGTACAAAGCCTAGCGGGCTGCCCATTACGTACATATGATGTTATCATTCGTTCGACCCCATGTTAGGATTTTCATTGGTTCGATAATTCATCGAGATTTTGATTGGTAGGTTTGGGAAAACTCCTCTCTGTTGTTTGCGAAGTTTACATAACGTGCGAACGTACCGAAGAAGAGGACCACTAACACAGAGGCAAGGGATTCTTATTGTCTCAGATCTATCTCAATTTTCAAAGCGTGCAAACGAGACTTTCAACTTGATTTGTACATTTTACCTTCGTGGCTAACTTGGCTTCAGTAAAGAGGTTGGTGTGAGAGTTACGATTTACATTTACTAATTTCTGTGTCGTTTATAGCTTTCGCATTTTGCTCCACCATCGTTAAATCATCTCACTAATAATTTAAGTTTATTATTATTATACATGGTGTATCATACAGAATGTTTGAAATTTCTTGTTTATTTGCCATTGAGCTAAACTTCAATTATAATTTCCGGTTAAATTACAATGCTAATTGGGGGCTGTCGCATCAGTGCTCGCGAACAATAAACATTAATGCAATTTACCTATTGCAATTGGCAAAATTTTTTTCAGATTTTCAAACTATCTAACGCGTAATAACTGCTTAACTGCTTCAAATAGTGATATAGTTGAACTAGAAACGACAGTAAACTCTGACTTGAAAATCTTGAAAAGTGTTCGACATCAAGCAATTATAGGCTGATTACATGAGCCCGGTAAGCCAGGACTCAGTCAAGCATTACATGATTTTGGTAGATAAAAACGATTCAATACTTATGATCAGATTTATCTTCTCGAGCAATTTCACAATATTCTGATTTAATAACTATACGCATAACATTTAAAAATGAAAACAACCAATTTGGCTTAATTTGAGAATTAAAACAGGAATGACTTGTGGTGCTTAACAAACAGTTGTAATTTTTAACCTTGAAGTTTTGGCTAATTTCAATCCCTCGAAATTATTTAACGTGCTGCATCAGGAGAAATTGTACTTTTGCATATTACAAATTTTTTGCGATTGGGATTATTGTGATCACAATTATCCCAATCGCAAAATTTTGTGCTAACTCAATAACTCAATTGTGATCACAATCAACTTCCAACAACTTAACAAAAAGTCATATGATGTGTGTAAATCACTATGAATATATTACATGTATTGCATAATTATCACTTCAGGACCTAAAGCAACCGAAGGCTTACTATAAACAGTTAAATTCGACAAATTAAGTTCGACGTTTAAATCGACGTCGAGCCACGTCGTACTTTGTCGTACCAAATATGAATTAGGTTTGGCTCATGAAAAGCACGACGTTTGAACCGTGCCTAAGCAAAAATCGGTGATCTTTTCTTGTTGCTTTTTCAAGTCAATAAAGACGAGTTAAGACGACAGTTCTTTTGAATGCAAAGGTTCAGGAGTCTTCTGCATCTGAAAATTTCCAAAAACTGACGTTGTTCGACAACTTGTGGCAAAGAACAAACTAAGAGATTGTGAAAATTTGAATTGTACCAGTAATAATTATAACATTGCAAAAGCTATCATTGGCTAAAGCACTATGTCTCACAAAATTGGACGAAATTACGCTTGTCGTTGTGGAAGGTTTCTTGTTAAAAATTTGTTGCTTTTCGTTGTGGACTGTGTTTCTACGTTCATTAAATCTGAAAATAAAGTTCTTTATGTGCATTTCAAACAAACACATACTGATGTTAAATAAGCAAATAATTATGTAATTTTGTGTTAAGATGGCTTTTGCTAACACGCAGTCGTCCTATAACATAACATCATGACTTTCCGTCATAAACCTTACATATGCTCAGTACAACTAAAGTGTAATGTGCCAAATGGTAGTTCCAAAACCATGGCAAAAGTTATCGTTGTTTGAAACATCCTGTTTAGAAGGCTGCTGTAGATACAAATCAATAGCAATCAGACAATACAAGAAAAATTACTATTTGCCCTGATTATAACTGAAGGTTGATTACTGTCATACAAAATGAAATTGTTTTATTTCACGAGTCTTTGAAATTGAACTATTACAAACATCGAGTTATTTCATGAAACACAAAGTCGAATTCAGTGAAGCATGCATGTTCCCATGTATTAGATGATTCAGACAAATATTGTTGATAAAATTAAATAGAAAAGTATCCAGTATTTTGACACGACAAAAGCTGCAGTGAGAAGCAACTACAACTTATGCTTGACCGAAGTCTATGCAAGCATCTTTGCCAACTTTTGCAAAGCCTATCGCACATTGAACATCAGCATTTGCTTCATTCAAATGCAACTAAATAACTTTATTTTCAGATTATATAGACGTAGATACGCTACCATAAACAAAAAGCAACAAAATTTTAGCTCAAAAGTTTACTTTGTCGTGATGTTGTTGACAAAACCTTCCGCATACGGCATAAGTAACCGGTAATTCTTTCTCAATGTATCGATCGACTTTGGGAGAAATTTGTGAGACATAGTGAATATATTTTCAATGCGCTTGCCTGTCAGCTTTTCGTTAGTGACTGAAGACAGATTTTGCAATAATACTAAGTTTTACTAACCATCTTGTAAAATCCAAGTCGATACAATCTTTCAGTTTATACTTCGACTTGACGCCGTTGGATGTTGAACAACGTCACCTTTTAGTCTAACGACGATATTACTGCTAAAATAAAGCAGTCTTTTCTAAAATTTTAGAGGCAGAATGCTCCTGAACGTCCGTACTTGATTTCTGAAAAGAAGGAGTGTCTTCAGTTGTGTCAACTGACTTTGAAAGGCGAAAAGAAACAGCACAATATAGACTTTGCATTGTCGTCCACAAATACAAAATTTCGCTTGCATGTCGTGCAACTTGAGACCACAATGCGCGCTTCGAGTTACCTGAGCTGGTGGTTGTCTATTGGCCGATTGTTATGCATGAATTTAATTGGTTGTCACAGGCCAATAAGCTTCTTTTTTCGGTTTTCACGCCAGGTTTTTATTGGAGGGATTCTACACAATAAAACTGGTGTGAAGAATTAAATCCGCTCATTCAGAAGCTGATTCTTCTTGCTTGAACATGAGGTAAGTCGCTTTGAATGTTTCTATTTTTTAAAAGAGAAATTCTATTTATTGTTTTTTAATTTGCACAAATGTATTTTTGAAAAAATTTTGCTAAATGTTACAATATTTGTTCAGAATTTTATTACTATTTTATTAAAAAAACTTTTCTATTTCATTACATATTTGTTTTACAATTTTCACTTTTTTATTTTTTTATTTTTCTTTATTTTATTTTTTTTATTTTTTTTTATTTTTATTTTTTAATATTTTTGGTTTAATTTAAAATTATTTTAATTCGTGTTGGTAATTTCCTTAGATTTATTCTCTTTTACACGCATAATGCTTGTGGTGAGCCGTGCAGTTTTCAATACCAATGACTAACGCATGCGCATTAGTGTAAAAGCGATTCTTCACCATTGATCTTAGTATAGGCTGGATTACGCATTGAATCGACATGTAGATGTCAACATTGAACTCCATCTCAAATTCGAAAGGGAAAACAATTTCTTTGAAACACAAAGTTGTTCTGAATACGGTGAAGTTTTATTCACTGTAAATTAAATACAAACTAAATGAGTTGAAACGCAGTTCATCTCGAAATTAGTTCGAAATTTGATGCAATCAACTGCTTGAACTATCATCTTCAGAATGGAAAATGGCGACTTAAATATTGTTAAGCCCTTAAAAAAATGGTGTTGACAACTTGCTCATCGTTTTAGTATGTTTTTACGGTACTAAAGAACCTTTACGGTAAGTGTTTCAAACTTTAAAACATTGACTTACATCTACAGTTCAAATTCACTCATCCCATTCAAACGATCAAACAAATTTTTTTTGATATGTTAAGAATGAATAGTCCTTTTATGCGAATCTTTTGTAAAATCTTTTGCTTTATTATCTTCATTCATTTAAGTTCTATTCATCCAGTGTTGTACATCATAATTTTTGTATAAATAAGAACGCACATTTTGCATTATTCCTTTCCCAATACACTTGTAATTACAGACATTGTAATTTGTATGTCAATGCAGTACATCAACATGACCTTATCATTCTACGTTACAATGCATTTTACACTTGACCCAGTTTTGGTTAGGTTGTCTTCTGTTGTATTAGAAATATGTTACTTTAGCTCTTCCAGTAAAGATGTGTTGTTTTGTTAGTACACCATAGAAATTCCATTATACGACCCTTAAAATATTTATATGTACACACATACTGTAAGCAATGTTTAAAATATTTCAATTTCTTAAAATGTTAATAACACAGTTTTAGTTTTGTACATGATAATCAAAGCAAGGTAGCACAGCAGTTATGGAAGGTTATACTGCCTTTGAATGACCCATCTATAAGAACTTTTTGTATATAATAGCAGAGTAAAACATGTTTTCATTTGGTGGTTCATTACCGTTGTGTTTTTGCAGTTGTATTTGAGTCTAATAAAAAACTAACTTGGCATTCAAAATCATTATGCATGGCTGATCTTGTTTAGTCAGTGCTGTTGTACATAGTTTTCAACATTTTAACTTAATGTCATTCTTTTTGACTCTGATTAAAGTGCCATAGTTCACTGCATTTAATTTATTTAAAATTATTAAATTTTTTATTTTAAGAATGCTTTGCCAAACTGCAGCATTCTTCTATCATCAGGATAGGAAAATTTGTCTGATCAGAATCACAGAAAGGCTTAAAGTCTCAAATATTAATGTCATTGTTTGACTAGTTTTATATTAAATGTGTCATCCAGTCCTATATTAGATCAGTGGTTTTTTACACATTCTTGTTAAAGAGCCTTGATGTCGTTAACACAGGACTTCTGGTTCTTAAACAAAATTTAAACATTCTTTTAGATAAGTAGTTCAATTTGTTAACTTCTGTTTCGTTTAAAAATGTTTGAAAGATTTTCAGACTAACTTTGATAACATGTTCATTCACATTTATAGTCCACAACACGTTGACAGATGTCTTGCTGTGAAACAAGAAAAAATGAGAGTCCCCCATTGGCCATGTCAAGAAACAGTGGCTGCTGCAGAAGTCAATGATAAATCAATTAGGAACTGGATAAATGAACAATTGTAATTTATATAGTCAATCAATTTTATCTATTTTATTTGTTGTACCAAGAACATGTTGTATATATTTATGTATTGAATGAAAAGAGAATGCCCAACATTTTACTTCTCAACCTTTTAAAAAGTTTTTATGGTTCAAAGACAAGTTTGTTCCTACATTGCTCTATTGGTAACAGTGTCTAAGAGTTTTCTGTGAAATGCAGAATTTAGACATTCCTACATTCCTATAATTGAATGGCACACAGCTGAAGGTTGATTGAGTTGTCGAGAGAAAGGATAACAATGAGCTACTGAGGATCACAAGCATCCTAAGTTAGACCACAAGACTATCAGCGTCACTGAGTTGTCAAGAGAAAGAATAACAATGTGCTACTGAGTATTACCAGCATCCTAAGTTAGACCACAAGACTATCAGCGTCACTGAGTTGTCGAGAGAAAGGATAACAATGTGCTACTGAGGATCACCAGCATCCTAAGTTAGACCACAAGACTATCAGCCTCACTGAGTTGTCGAGAGAAGGGATAACAATGTGGTACTGAGGATCACCAGCATCCTAAGTTAGACAACAAGACTATCAGCGTCACTGAGTTGTCAAGAGAAAGGATAACAATGTGCTACTGAGAATCACCAGCATCCTTAGTTAGACCACAAGACTATCAGCGTCACTGAGTTGTCAAGAGAAAGGATAACAATGTGCTACTGAGAATCACCGGCATTCTAAGTTAGTCAAGCAGGTGAAATTGTCGAGTGTGGTATGGTTGGTAAGGGGGAGGGGGGGGAGAGAAATTGCTCTCGTAAGGTGACATTGCTTATCCAACGTACGTCAAACAACTATGATAATATTTTACCACTTTTGGTTCTATGAAAGAATGTTTTATACAGTGCGGTGTTTGATATTAAATGAAAACATGATCTTCGCACTTTGCTGGACAATTTAAGCAATTGTCTCATGAACCTGAAAAAATCAGGTGACTCAACGGGATTTGAACCCAAGACCTCTGCGGTACCGGTGCAGTGCTCTGACCAACTGAGCTATGAAGTCACACAGAAGAGAGCAGGTCAATTTCTTGGGCTCATGTTTTCTCGTGAAAGTGTCATATGAAAGAATTCTTTCATATGACATTCCTTTCAAATATGTCCAATAGACTCAAGTGATGTCCTTCAGATAATAGTTACCCAGTCAGACAAAGCAATTATTCCTTTCATGTCATATGAAAGAATTATTTCATATGACATTTCTTTCACATGAAAGAATTCTTTCATATGACATTCCTTTCAAATATGTCCAATAGACTCAAGTGATGTCCTTCAGATAATAGTTACCCAGTCAGACAAAGCAATTATTCCTTTCATGTCATATGAAAGAATTATTTCATATGACATTTCTTTCACATGAAAGAATTCTTTCATATGACATTCATTTCATGTCATATGAAATAATTATTTCATATGACTTTCGTTTCACGAATTCTTTCATATGACACTTGCTTAAATTGTCCAGCAAAGTGCAAAGATCATATCTTCATTTCACTTTTGGTTCTACAAAGAGAATACTGGCATATACAAGTTTATCTGAAGGATTTTTTATATAATGAATTATAGAACGTCGTGTATTTCGGTGACGTCGACATAAAAACTTGTGTTTTGTTACTGTTGGCGAAAAGAACGGAATCGTCGGAATCAGGAAGTTGTAAATTTTATTATAGTGTGTTTCATTCAGCCTTCAGACGCGCGACTAAAGCGATTGCCTAGTGTGTTTCAGCCTTAACTGTTCAATCACGTTAGTTTGATTTCGATTTATGTAAATAAAATAATAATGAACAAAAATTAAATTACATAAACTCTTTTCAGAATCATTCAACTTTTTAAATTTTCAAACATCGAATTTTTCATGCGCAATTTTTTGCATCATGGATCAGGGGCTTCTCCTATATTTACAACTATATGAATATTTCCATAATTTCGTAATGGCACGATTGAAATGAAGAATAAAGTAAAGTTATTTAAAATGCTGAATTTATCATAGGATGCTTGATACGTGTTAATCAGTAAAAGGAAAAGGTTTGATGAAATATTAGTGATATTTACACGGCAAATATCATGAGTGTGACAGAGACAAAGTTGAATATTACACTCAATTTTCTCTAAAACTCAAAGAAGCCTTAGACACACGCAAACAAAAACCAGATCTTAACAAACAAATTCCACATTTTAACATAATTTTCTAATTTCCCTAATTTCGTAATGGCACGATTGAAATGACGCATTTAACATAAATGACAACTTTTTTTAAGTTTTTTATTGCAGACATTTTTCGGTAAACTTATGCCATCTTTAGTGCGGTATAATGAAAAATCTGACAAGTTTGAAATTGTGAATGCATTGATAGAAACAGATTTATAGAAATAAATTTCAAGTAAGATAAATCCAAATACATTCGAGTGATTCGACACAAAGGTTAGCGAATGTTGGAAGAATTGGCGACTTTCGTCGTCATAGATTGATGTACACCTAAATATTGCCAAGTTCACAAACCATTTACTGGTTAAAGTAAATGGTTTGAACACGGGAGTATCGTTACATGTTTGTAAATGTAGATCGTCCAGGTTGGTATAGTCCTGAGAAGGACTATTTTTGTTGTACACGCACATCACAACATCACACCTACATCACACATAACTACTAAAAATGCTTCTCGGGGCTTCGCTTTTCCAATTTCGGCATTTTGCCATGTCCGGTTTTTTGGTCTTTCTGCAATTGGCATTCGACTGGATGAACGTGATTGGTCACGTGAACAGTTTTGCTGAGTCTCTGAGTTTCTGCAGGGCAGTGATGTATAAGGACGTCCTTTGGATTACACCAAAGTCAGTGGTAGCTGGCTTGTGACGGAGCACCTCCTCATCGAAAGCAACATTTGTTGGTAAAGTTTGCGAGTCACGTTAGCATATGTAAAATAAAGATATGAACAAAAACGATAAAAATTCAATTTTGAATCAAATGAGGATGAAAATAGAAATGAAGACGAAAATCACGAAGGACTGGAGCATGAGCAACATGACGAAAACAATTCCCACGAAGAAAACGTTCTGCAGGAGAATCTTGTTGAAGATCAAGTAGGGATGGAATCAAACGTTGACAGTTATGCTGAACTTTTTAATATCTTGCTTGAGGTTTTATATTTGCACTTTAGTGTTGAAATATATGATTTAAATCTACCATCAATTCCTGATGAATTGTAAGTGTGACTATATATGTAGAAATATTTTATTTGTAGAAATGTAGAAATGTAGAAATGTAGAAATGCACAAACTATGGAGTTAAAAATTGTTAAAATAATTATTTAGATAGAATGTACTCTATTTCGTCTGTAAAATGTATAAATTTGTGTATGTACTAATTTTAATAAAGAATCTTTCACTATTTGCCAAAAACTTACATTCGCGAGATGACGACAATTCCCCAACTTGATCTCACGTGATCTAGAGTTAAGCTTATCATTGGCTGAAATTGAAATGCATTTTTCATTTTATTCGGCGCACTTTGTGGATTTTTACATCGTGCGTTATTGCATGGATTTGTTCAGTCGTCCATAGATACAACACCGAAGGAATATGCAATGTACGTGTCGTTTCTTGGTGAGATTTGGGTGAGAGCTTTAAGACTTTTGGTTCTTCCTTTGATTGTATCCAGCTTGCTTTTGGCAGTCGCTGAATTGGAGTCAAAACAGAGCGGAAAATTGAGAAGAAGAACATTGCTGTATTATCTTATGACTACAATGTTTGGGGAGTAATTTGTTTATTTGTATTTAACCTGGAAATGTTAACGTGAAAGAACCAGAACCGAACGAAGAAAAAGTTGAACCAATACCTTCTGTGCTTGATCTTACAAGGTTTGTGCAAAATATTGATAAATTTACTGAGTTTGCGCCCTGCTTTTGCTTTTACTGCAAAAATTTTCTTATACGTATAACTTTTATTTCTATTAATAAAGGACACATGCCAGCTAGAAGACACCTTTATTTTATTGTAATGCCTATAGCGTGAAAATAAGACGTACTAAGTTTCGAAGTCGTCCGCAAAATTTTTCAAAAGATATTTAGGGTTATAATCGGTAAAAACACGATATTCGATGACCATTGCTAAAACGCCGTGAGATTGTTTAAGTCTGGGAACTGTGAAAGAGTGACGTATTAGTTGACATAAACAAGCATCGTTCTTATATCGTTCTACGACTGGCATGCAGTGCTTGCACGGCTTTCGGTAGTTTGCTATTACTGTTTTTTATTTATCAAAAATTAATGGATTCTTCTGAAGGAGAAGCCGATTATGATATTGTCATCAATAACAATGAGGTACAACATTGTTTGAGCCTTTGGCCAACGCGTAAGGTGGTCATAATGATGACAATTCTCCGTCATCGGAAAGCGAAGATAAATACATTCACAGAATTGGAAATGTTGAATAGTTAGTTGCATTTTATTGATGCTTCATTGTTTTTCCCAAAGTAAAAACAATGTTTTTATCTTTTAGGTGTGAGTGTGGCTTTTGTGTGGTCATGAGTACAGGACGGGAAAGTATATGTTGCCAAAAGGTAAACAATACTGATCCTCTGATACATGGCGATCATATTTGCATCACACAAGAGGAAGGTTTGCCACAGTGTGTACAAACGAAGCTGTCGTAAAAACAGCTATGGTCGTGTACACACATGGCATTGGACCTATGCCTGAGAGTGAAGAAAACGAGTGAGAGTCTGATCCATTGTAGCTATTGCTCATCGTCGACGTGCTTTCTGTATCAGACCATACAGCGCTATCCTCAAAATGTTCAATTTCACATGACGTCTGTGTGCTATTATTTTTTGTTGAAATTAACTCAACCTTTAGATAAAATTATCGTATCGCTGGATTTTTCACAAAAATCAAAACGGCCGAAATGGAAAGTCTATACCTCTACTTATCATATTTGGCACTTTTGTTTGAGTGGTTCTTGACCTTACGTGTTTTGCGGACGGATTGTTATGTCTGCTTGGCATTTCACATTGCGCTTCTAAGGTACGTTAAGGAATTTTGTATGAGTTAAAATAACAAAGAAAAGATCAAACGACATTAGTCTGAATTAGTTACCACTGTATATGTTTGTGTTTCTCTGTCTACATATATTTTGACATCTTTATCTTAGACAAACTTCCTTTGAGGTAAAACGCACAAACATTTCGAGACGATGTCGACACATCGTGGTCCTCGTCTACAAGAAAGTCGTCATGTTCTGCAAAAACGTCGTCAATAATCTAAAATTATAAAATTTTCCTCAATTTGGTAATGCTATATAGCTTAGTTTTTGATAAATGTAAACAAATATTGCTAACTATAACTATAATAATCACCTCTTGCCTTCGTCTTCTCAAATGCAGTTCTAACATTTGTTGGCTGCTTCCTTTTAGATGCTACACTTGTGGGTTCCACAGAGTATTCAAAAATCGTGGGTACAGCGTCCTTCTTAAGGCGAAGCCGTCCTGCTGTCCATCCTACTGATTGCATCGCTTCAAAATTTTGCACGAAGCACGAACTCTCGAAATGTTGTGAGCACAGTTTTGAGCTCTTTGTTGGCTTCAAATTTTTGCGTCGGATTTTTTCTATCCAAATATCTCGCATGCGCTTGTTTTCGGGAAACGAAAAAAAGAAACCTTTTGCTGCGTTTCGTGGTTCTTAGAAGAACCGTTTTTACAATTAAATGCGGCACAATAAACCATATTTTCAATGCTAAATTGTCGTGTTGTTAATGCAGGCAAGGAAGTTGCCAATATATTTTGAACGAAGCGCGTAATTGACCGCGTTTAGCTAATGTCAACTATTAAGTCACAACGACCTTTTTCCAATCGGTAGCCGTCGTTAGTTCGTCGAGCATTTTCAATACGTTATCAGTAAAGCATCAACTTTAAACCTCCATATCTTCAAAAATATTTATCCTTTGAGTCTCAAACTTTGGTGAACTATTAGTTGGAGCTATACCTTTATGTAAAGTACAAAAATAACAATCCGAATTTTATGTTGCATGTGTCCTTTAAGAAAGGTAGGAAATTGATAAACCGCGTCAAGGCGTCAGAAAAGCCATAACTAGCTTATACTACGCAATGGAAATCCCGCAATTTTTTACAAATTCACTAAGTATAATAATAATAAATCAAAATTTATAAAATAGCTTTAGCTAAATGAGGACAAAAAATTCAGCTAGAGTAAAAGCAATTTTGTACAAATTCACTAAGTTTAATAATAATAAATCAAAACTTACATCAAAGAATTCTTTCATATGACATGAAAGGAATGTAATATCAAATAATTATTTCATATGACATGAAAGAAATGTCATATGAAAGAATTCTTTCATATGACAAGGAATGTCATATGAAATAATTCTTTCATATGACATGAAAGGAATTTCATATGAAATAATTATTTCATATGACATGAAAGGAATGTAAAATGAAAGAATTCTTTTATATGACACTCCTTTACGAGAAAACGTGAGCCCAACAAAATTGAATTCTTTCATATGAGTCTTTCTTAAATTGTCCAGCAAAGTGCAAAGATCATATCTTCATTTCACTTTTGGTTCTAAAACAGAATACTGGCATAGACAAGTTTATCTGAAAGGTTTTATTTAATGAATTCTAGAACGTCGTGTATTTCGGTGACGTCGACATAAAAGTTGTGTCTTGTTACTGTTGGCGAAAAACGGAATCGTCGGAATGAGGAAGTTGTAAATTTTATTATAGTGTGTTTCATTCAGCCTTCAGACGCGCGACTAAAGCGATTGCCTAGTGTGTTTCAGCCTTAACTGTTCAATCACGTTAGTTTGATTTCGATTTAAGTAAATAAAATAATAATGAACAAAAATTAAATTACATAAACTGTTTTCAGAATCATTCAACTTTTTAAATTTTCAAACAAACATCGAATTTTTCATGCACAATTTTTTTGCATCATTTAGAAATTTAGACTTCCCCTATATTTACAACTATATGAATATTTCCATAATTTTGCAATGGCACGATTGAAATGAATAAAGTAAAGTTATTTAAAATGCTAAATTTATCATAGGATGCTTGATACGTGTTAATTAGTAAAAGGAAAAGGTTTGATAAAATATTAGTGATATTTACACGGCAAATATCATAAGTGTGATGGAGACAAAGTTGAACATTACACTCAATTTTCTCTAAAACTCAAAGAAGCCTTACACACACAAACAAACACCCGATCTTAACAAACAAATTCCACATTTTAACATAATTTTCTAATTTCCCTAATTTCGTAATGGCACGATTGAAATGATGCATTTAACGGAAACGACAACTTTTTTTAAGTTTTTTATTGCAGACATGTTTCGGCAAACTTATGCCATCTTCAATGCGGTATAATGAAAAATCTTACAAGTTTGAAATTGTGAATGCATTGATAGAAACACATTTATAGAAATAAATTTAAAGTAAGATAAATCCAAATACATTCGAGTGATTCGACACAAAGGTTAGCAAATGTTGGAAGAATTGGCGACTTTCGTCGTCATAGATTGATGTACACCTAAATATTGCCAAGTTCACAAACCATTTACTGGTTAAAGTAAATGGTTTGAACACGGGAGTATCGTTACATGTTTGTAGATGTAGATCGTCCAGGTTGGTATAGTCCTGAGAAGGACTGTTTTTGTTGTTGTTGACTGACGTTCAACCACCGCTATGTAAGAACCAGATAACAAATACGGCTAACTTGACGTTTACTCCTCATTTGATTCTGAAGATGACTAACGCTAAGGTTGTCGAAACGTCAGTCAACAACAACAAAAACAGTCCTTCTCAGGACTATACAAACCTGGACGATCTACATCTACAAACATGTAACGATACTCCCGGGTTCAAACCATTCACTTTATAACATTTAATAGTATTAATATGAAGTCAACAACTTACTAGTGTGAGGTCTCTCTCCTGATTACTAGACAATGAACAAATTATTTCGTTGAAATTCATAGATGGTTGTTGTTGACATCATAACGTAGGATGATAATTTTATATGAAATGGTTGTTGTTGACATCATAACGTAGGATGATAATTTTATATGAAATGGTTGTTGTTGACATCATAACGTAGGATGATAATTTTATATGAAATGGTTGTTATTAACAACATAACGTAGGATGATAATTTTATATGAAATGGTTCTTATTAACATCCATTAAACGTATGTAGTCGTAAGCAAGTTGTTCGCTCTGTCGTCCAAATGATCGTAATAAAGTAAATGGTTTAAACCCGGGAGTATCGTTACATGTTTGTAAATGTAGATCGTCCAGGTTTGTATAGTCCTGAGAAGGACTGTTTTTGTTGTACACGCACATCACACATCACACCTACATCACACATCACTACTAAAAATGTTTCGCTCGGGGTTTCGCTTTCCCATTTTTTGCATTTTGCCATGTCCGGCTTTCTGGTCTTTTCTGCAATTAGCATTGGTGCAAATTATGAGTTGAAGCAATTAGAATTCGACTGGATGAACGTGATTGGTAACGTGAACAGTTTTGCTGAGTCTCTGAGTTTTTACAAGGCAGTGATGTATAAGGACGTCCTTTGGATTACACCAAAGTAAGTGGTAGCTGGCTTGTGAGGGAGCACCTCCTCATCGAAAGCAACATTTGTTGGTAAAGTTTACAAATCACGTTAGCATATAAAAAATAAAGATATGAACAAAAACGATAAAAATTCCAATTTTGAATCAAATGAGGATGAAAATAGAAATGAAGACGAAAATCACGAAGGACTGGAGCATGAGCAACATGACGAAAACAATTCCCACGAAGAAAACATTCTGCAGGAGAATCTTGTTGAAGATCAAGTGGGGATGGAATCAAACGTTGACAGTTATGCTGAACTTTTTAATATCTTGCTTGAGGTTTTATATTTGGACTTTAGTGTTGAAATATATGATTTAAATCTACCATCAATTCCTGATGAACTGTAAGTTTGACTATATATGTAGAAATATTTTATTTGTAGAAATGTAGAAATGTAGAAATGTAGAAATGCACAAACTATGGAGTTAAAATTTGTTAAGATAACTATTTAGATAAAATGTACTCTATTTCGTCTGTAAAATGTATAAATTTGTGTATGTACTAATTTTGATAAAGAATCTTTTTCACTATTTTCCAAAAACTTACATTCGCGAGATAACGACAATTCCCCAACTTGATCTCACGTGATCTAGAGTTAAGCTTATCATTGGCTGAAATTGAAATGCATTTTTCATTTTATTCGGCGTACTTTCTGGATTTTTACTGCGTGCGTTATTGCATGGATTTGTTCAGTCGTCCATAGATTCAACCCTTAAGGAATATGCAATGTACGCGCCGCTTCCTGGTGAGATTTGGGTTAGAGAATTAAGACTTTTTGTTCTTCCTTTGATTGTATCCAGCTGGCTTTTGGCAGTCGCTGAATTGGAGTCAAAACAGAGCCGAATTTGGAAGAAGAACATTGCTGTATTATCTTATGACTACAATGTTTGGAGAGTAATTTGTTTATTTGCATTTAACCTGGAAATGTTAACGTGAAAGAACCAGAACCAAACGAAGAAAAAGTTGAACCAATACATTCTGTGCTTGACGTAATAAGGTTTGTGCAAAATATTGATAACTTTACTGAGTTTGCGCTCAGCTTTCGCGTTCACCGCAAAGATCTTCTTTTACGTATAAGTTATATTTCTATAAGTTATCGACAATGCTTTTCACTTTTTTTAAAGGCAACTTTATTTACCATAACATAAATGCTACGTTCTCAAAACTGTGCAAGTGTACGAGATTTTCGAGCGCATACGGTAATCGCGTTATCGCAATACTCCTTGATTCTTAATCTTCTATTTGTGACAAACTTGCCTTAAGGACAAGAGGTGGCTATGACATTTTATACATTATTACATTCATATTTGACACTTTTTTTACTATGCCATACGAACCACAACTACCAAAGTAATCAACACCACAAGAACTTAATGCTGGATTAAAGAATACCCGTCCACTCACTATCTACTTATATAATATGCCTTGTTCTTTATACTTTGTTCGTTATTTTGACCATTAAAATGACACTAAATGATACTTGATAAATAAGAATTGAGAACTAAACGACATTTTAGTTTAGTCATAAACACCACAAGATCGTAATGCTATGTTATAGAATACCCGTCCATCCACTATCTACTTGTATAATATGCCTTGTTCTTTATACTTTGTTCTTTATTTTGACCATTAAATGACACTAAATGATATTTGATAAATAATAATTGAGAACTAAACGATATTTTAGTTTAGTGATAAACACCACAAGATCATGATGCTATGTTATAGAATACCCGTCCACTCACTATCTACTTATATAATATGCCTTGTTCTTTATACTTTGTTCTTTATTTTGTTCATTAAAATGACACTAAATGATACTTGATAAATAAGAATTGAGAACTAAACGACATTTTAGTTTAGTCATAAACACCACAAGATCGTAATGCTATGTTATAGAATACCCGTCCACTCACTATCTACTTGTATAATATGCCTTGTTCTTTATACTTTGTTCTTTATTTTGACCATTAAATGACACTAAATGATACTGGATAAATAATAATTGAGAACTAAACGACATTTTAGTTTAGTCATAAACACCACAAGATCGTAATGCTATGTTATAGAATACCCGTCCACTCACTATCTACTTATATAATATGCCTTGTTCTTTATACTTTGTTCTTTATTTTGACCATTAAATGACACTAAATGATACTTGATAAATAAGAATTGAGAACTAAACGACATTTTAGTTTAGTCATAAACACCACAAGATCATAATGCTATGTTATAGAATACCCGTCCACTCACTATCTACTTATATAATATGCCTCGTTCTTTATACTTTGTTCTTTATTTTGTTCATTAAAATGACACTAAATGATACTTGATAAATAATAATTGAGAACTAAACGATATTTTAGTTTAGTCATAAACACCACAAGATCATAATGCTATGTTATAGAATACCCGTCCACTCACTATCTACTTATATAATATGCCTTGTTCTTTATACTTTGTTCTTTATTTTGACCATTAAATGACACTAAATGATACTTGATAAATAATAATTGAGAACTAAACGATATTTTAGTTTAGTGATCAACACCACAAGATCGTAATGCTATGTTATAGAATACCCGTCCACTCACTATCTACTTATATAATATGCCTTGTTCTTTATACTTTGTTCTTTATTTTAACCATTAAATGACACTAAATGATACTGGATAAATAATAATTGAGAACTAAACGATATTTTAGTTTAGTGATAAACGCCACAAGATCGTATGAGATCAAATGCAACGAATTAAAGGCACCACTTGTCTGAGAATCCTTCTTTCCTATACTTGTTACACGATCGTGTATGAAATACTTTGGTTGTCTGTAAGATTAAAATCAAATTTTAAGCATTACCACTTAACTTTTAAAGTAGTGCCTTGTATGGAAAAGTTCCGTGAATAATGACTTCTTATCTTGATTTTATACAAACACAGCCATGGATAACAAGCCTGATAAAACTTCGAACAACACGAGACGTTCAGAAAATGAGCAAAACGACCAAAGCAGTGGTGAGGAAAACTTTCAAGATCGTCGAGGAGAAGTGACAGCGGAAATGGAAAATGGTACTGGAGGTTATCCCATACAAGAAAGCCGTATTGAAGAATTCAATTTTTCGCCTTATATACCAGAAGAACTTTAAATTGACTTTGGCCTAATGTATTAGAACCTTTATATTTTGAAGTAGCCCTTCACCTTATATGTTTTATAGTTTTACTATTCACATTTCAATTAACTGTAAATCATTTATCCCTATTTGTATATTTAAGTATCATATTCATTATTTATCATCGTAAAAATAACCATTCACTATGTAATAGTGTAAATGCAAGCACTTGAAAACGCATCTTGTTTCAAAAACGGAAACTTTCAAGGACATTTTGTTTACATCTTGGGTAGCTAATTGACAATTAATTAATGTAGCTATTTAATAACTTTCCTTAAACTTTTGTATGTAAAATATATATTTATTTTTCTATTTATGTCATTATTAACTTTGAATGGAGTGATAATTTTCGATGTAATCGTTCATCGTTTTCTCTCGAAGTGTTCCTAAGCAGTTGATTTCAAAACAAGCCAAATAATGATGGTAAATTCTGGTTACTGTTAAAAAACAGTGAGAAGATATTGTACACTGTCATACACATGCAGAATATTTGAATGGACTATTTAATTTATTTCTATCTTGTTGAGTGTTGCATTTCTCTCTTGCTTAGTTGGACTTATTCAAAAGTTTATTACAAGTCGATCATCTTAAATATTGAATATGTTCTTACTTTCAATGCAAACAATTTTACGAAGTTTTGAAATCGAAACCAAAAATCTTGGATTTTTCGAGAGCATTGGGATTTTCTCTGTATTTTTATTTTAGGAAAAAGATATTTTTGGGTGTTGCAAATGATAATTTTAAATATCAATATTTTGATTCATTTGGTTGCCTAGCATCTCTTTGCTTTGTGTGCTCTATTATTAGATTGATATTCAATGATTCTGTCTATTGTAATTTATCATATAGAATTTTAAACATTTAGCAGTGATAATTAGGGGGTGTTTACATGAATCCGGAATGAGTTTCGATCCGGAATGAACTCATTCCAGGATCGGGAACACCCTAAGGAACAGAAAAAAGACAAACGGTACTTACTGAAGGTATAAAACGACGCTTATGGCGAGGCCATCCTTCTTCGATTGCATGTTTGGATATTGCATCTCCACAAAGGCTCTCTGTTTCGTAAGTGGTTGAGATACACTACACATGCCCTTGAGATGTGACCTTCGTTGCCATCTCGCAAATGTAAATTATAAATTACCATTGAATAGTATGATCTTGAATAATGTGGCTTTATCAGCTTTATCACTTTTATCAGTTGATTGCACTAACTTCTTCGTTTAAATTCTCCTAATACAATCTCTAGCAACCAGTAAAACAAACGCATACTAAAATAAAATAATGTTTGTAAATCTAGGAAGGACAGAATTAAAAGCTAGGATACTGCACAGATCTTACCCACGCCACATTATTCAAGATCATCTTGTCTTTGCTGCAATTGGCATTCGACTGGATGAACGTGATTGGTAACGTGAACAGTTTTGCTGAGTCTCTGAGTTTCTGCAAGGCAGTGATGTATAAGGACGTCCGTTGGATTACACCAAAGTAAGTGGTAGCTGGCTTGTGAGGGAGCACCTCCTCATCGAAAGCAACATTTGTTGGTAAAGTTTGCGAGTCACATTAGCATATGTAAAATAAAGATATGAACAAAAACGATAAAATTCCAATTTTGAATCAAATGAGGATGAGAATAGAAATAAAGACGAAAATCACGAAGGACTGGAGCATGAACAACATGACGAAAACAATTCCCGCGAAGAAAACGTTCTGCAGGAGAATTTTGTAGAAGATCACGTAGGGATGGAATCAAACGTTGACGGTTATGCTGAACTTTTTAATATCTTGCTTGAGGTTTTATATTTGCACTTTAGTGTTGAAATATATGATTTAAATCTACCATGAATTCCTGATGAACTGTAAGTGTGACTATATATGTAGAAATATTTTATTTGTAGAAATGTAGAAATGTAGAAATGTAGAAATGCACAAACTATGGAGTTAAAAATTGTTAAAATAACTATTTAGATAGAATGTACTCTATTTCGTCTGTAAAATGTATAAATTTGTGTATGTACTAATTTTAATAAAGAATCTTTCACTATTTGCCAAAAACTTACATTCGCGAGATAACGACAATTCCCCAACTTGATCTCACGTGATCTAGAGTTAAGCTTATCATTGGCTGAAATTGAAATGCATTTTTCATTTTATTCGGCGCACTTTGTGGATTTTTACATCGTGCGTTATTGCATGGATTTGTTCAGTCGTCCATAGATTCAACACCTAAGGAATATGCAATGTACGTGCCGTTGCCTGGTGAGATTTGGGTGAGAGCATTAAGACTTTTTGTTCTTCCTTTGATTGTATCCAGCCTGCTTTTGGCAGACGCTGAATTGGAGTCAAAACAGAGCGGAAATTTGGGAAGAAGAACATTGCTGTATTATCTTATGACTACAATGTTTGGGGAGTAATTTGTTTATTTGTATTTAACCTGGAAATGTTAAAGTGAAAGAACCAGAACCGAACGAAGAAAAAGTTGAACCAATACCTTCTGTGCTTGATCTTACAAGGTTTGTGCAAAATATTGATAAATTTACTGAGTTTGCGCCCTGCTTTTGCTTTTACTGCAAAAATTTTCTGATACGTATAACTTTTATTTCTATTAATAAAGGACACATGCCAGCTAGAAGACACCTTTATTTTATTGTAATGTCTATAGCGTGAAAATAAGACGTACCAAGTTTCGAAGTCGTCCGCAAAATTTTTCAAAAGATATTTAGGGTTATAATCGGTAAAAACACGATATTCGATGACCATTCCTAAAACGCCGTGAGATTGTTTAAGTCTGGGAACTGTGAAAGAGTGACGTATTAGTTGACATAAACAAGCTTCGTTCTTATATCGTTCTACGACTGGCATGCAGTGCTTGCACGGCTTTCGGTAGTTTGCTATTACTGTTTTTATCAAAAATTAATAGATTCTTCTGAAGGAGAAGCCGATTATGATATTGTCATCAATAATGAGGTACAACCTTACATGTTTGAGCCTTTGGCTAACGCGCAAGGTGGTCATTACTATTCTCCGTCATCGGAAAGCGAAGATAAATACATTCACAGAATTGGAAATGTTGAATGGTTAGTTGCATTTTATTGATGCTTCATTGTATTTCCCAAAGTAAAAACAATGTTTTTATCTTTTAGGTGTGAGTGTGGCTTTTGTGGTCATGAGTACAGGACGGGAAAGTATATGTTGCCAAGAGGTAAACAATACTGATCCTCTGATACATGGCGATCATATTTGCATCACACAAGAGGAAGAGTTTACCACAGTGTGTACAAACGAAGCTGTCGTAAAAACAGCTATGGTCGTGTACACACATGGCATTGGACCTATGCCTGAGAGTGAAGAAAACGAGTGAGAATCTGATCCATTGTAGCTATTGCTCATCGTCGACGTGCTTTCTGTATCAGACCATACAGCGCTATCCTCAAAATGTTCAATTTCACATGACGTCGTCTGTGTGCTATGATTTTTTGTTGAAATTAACTCAACCTTTAGATAAAATTATCGTATTGCTGGATTTTTCTCAAAAATCAAAACGGCCGAAATGGAAAGTTTATACCTCTACTTATCATATTTAGCACTTTTGTTTGAGTGGTTCTTAACCTTACGTGTTTTTGCGGAAGGATTGTTATGTCTGCTTGGCATTTCACATTGCGCTTCTAAGGTACGTTAAGGAATTTTGTATGAGTTAAAATAACAAATAAAAGATCAAACGACATTAGTCTGAATTAGTTACCACTGTATATGTTTGTGTTTCGCTGTCTACATATATTTTGACATCTTTATCTTAGACAAACTTCCTTTGAGGTAAAACGCACAAACATTTCGAGACGATGTCGACACATCGTGGTCGTCGTCTACAAGAAAGTCGTCATGTTCTGCAAGAACGTCGTCAATAATCTAAAATTATAAAATTGTCCTCAATTTGGTAATGCTATATAGCTTAGTTTTTTATAAATGTAAACAAATATTGCTAATTATAACTATAATAATCACCTCTTGCCTTCGTCTCTTCTCAAATGCAGTTCTAACATTTGTTGGCTGCTTCCTTTTAGATGCTACACTTGTGGGTTCCACAGAGTATTCAAAAATCGTGGGTACAGCGTCCTTCTTAAGGCGAAGCCGTCCTGCTGTCCATCCTACTGATTGCATCGCTTCAAAATTTTGCACGAAGCACGAACTCTCGAAATGTTGTGAGCACAGTTTTGAGCTCTTTGTTGGCTTCAAATTTTTGCGTCGGATTTTTTCTATCCAAATATCTCGCATGCGCTTGTTTTCGGGAAACGAAAAAAAGAAACTTTTTGCTGCGTTTCGTGGTTCTTAGAAGAACCGTTTTTACAATTAAATGCGGCACAATAAACCATATTTTCAATGCTAAATTGTCGTGTTGTTAATGCAGGCAAGGAAGTTGCCAATATATTTTGAACGAAGCGCGTAATTGACCGCGTTTAGCTAATGTCAACTATTAAGTCACAACGACCTTTTTCCAATCGGTAGCCGTCGTTAGCTCGTCGGGCATTTTCAATACGTTATCAGTAAAGCATCAACTTTAAACCTCCATATCTTCAAAAATATTTATCCTTTGAGTCTCAAACTTTGGTGAACTATTAGTTGGAGCTATACCTTTATGTAAAGTACAAAAATAACAATCCGAATTTTATGTTGCATGTGTCCTTTAAGAAAGGTAGGAAATTGATAAACCGCGTCAAGGCGTCAGAAAAGCCATAACTAGCTTGTACTACGCAATGGAAATCCCGCAATTTTTTACAAATTCACTAAGTATAATAATAATAAATCAAAATTTATAAAATAGCTTTAGCTAAATGAGGACAAAAAATTCAGCTAGAGTAAAAGCAATTTTGTACAAATTCACTAAGTTTAATAATAATAAATCAAAACTTACATCAAAGAATTCTTTCATATGACATGAAAGGAATGTAATATGAAATAATTATTTCATATGACATGAAAGAAATGTCATATGAAAGAATTCTTTCATATGACATGAAAGGAATGTCATATGAAATAATTCTTTCATATGACATGAAAGGAATTTCATATGAAATAATTATTTCATATGACATGAAAGGAATGTAAAATGAAAGAATTCTTTCATATGACACTCCTTTACGAGAAAACGTGAGCCCAACAAAATTGAATTCTTTCATATGAGTCTTGCTTAAATTGTCCAGCAAAGTGCAAAGATCATATCTTCATTTCACTTTTGGTTCTACAACAGAATACTGGCATAGACAAGTTTATCTGAAGGGTTTTTTTATTTAATGAATTCTAGAACGTCGTGTATTTCGGTGACGTCGACATAAAAAGTTGTGTCTTGTTACTGTTGGCGAAAAAAACGGAATCGTCGGAATGAGGAAGTTGTAAATTTTATTATAGTGTGTTTCATTCAGCCTTCAGACGCGCGACTAAAGCGATTGCCTAGTGTGTTTCAGCCTTAACTGTTCAATCACGTTAGTTTGATTTCGATTTAAGTAAATAAAATAATAATGAACAAAAATTAAATTACATAAACTGTTTTCAGAATCATTCAACTTTTTAAATTTTCAAACAAACATCGAATTTTTCATGCGCAATTTTTTTGCATCATTTAGAAATTTAGACTTCCCCCTATATTTACAACTATATGAATATTTCCATAATTTTGCAATGGCACGATTGAAATGAATAAAGTAAAGTTATTTAAAATGCTAAATTTATCATAGGATGCTTGATACGTGTTAATTAGTAAAAGGAAAAGGTTTGATAAAATATTAGTGATATTTACACGGCAAATATCATAAGTGTGATGGAGACAAAGTTGAACATTACACTCAATTTTCTCTAAAACTCAAAGAAGCCTTACACACACAAACAAACACCCGATCTTAACAAACAAATTCCACATTTTAACATAATTTTCTAATTTCCCTTATTTCGTAATGGCACGATTGAAATGATGCATTTAACATAAATGACAAATTTTTTTAAAAATTTTTATTGCAGACATGTTCCGGCAAACTTATGCCATCTTCAGTGCGGTATAATGAAAAATCTGACAAGTTTGAAATTGTGAATGCATTGATAGAAACAGATTTATAGAAATAAATTTCAAGTAAGATAAATCCAAATACATTCGAGTGATTCGACACAAAGGTTAGCGAATGTTGGAAGAATTGGCGACTTTCGTCGTCATAGATTGATGTACACCTAAATATTGCCAAGTTCACAAACCATTTACTGGTTAAAGTAAATGGCTTGAACCCGGGAGTATCGTTACATGTTTGTAGATGTAGATCGTTCAGGTTGGTATAGTCCTGAGAAGGACTGTTTTTGTTGTACACGCACATCACACATCACACCTACATCACACATCACTACTAAAAATGTTTCGCTCGGGGTTTCGCTTTCCCAATTTTGGCATTTTGCCATGCCCGGCTTTCTGGTCTTTTCTGCAATTGACATTCGACTGGATGAACGTGATTGGTCACGTGAACAGTTTTGCTGAGTCTCTGAGTTTCTGCAAGGCAGTGATGTATAAGGACGTCCTTTGGATTACACCAAAGTAAGTGGTAGCTGGCTTGTGACGGAGCATCTCCTCATTGAAAGCAACATTTGTTGGTAAAGTTTGCGAGTCACATTAGCCTATGTAAAATAAAGATATGAACAAAACGATAAAATTCCAATTTTGAATCAAATGAGGATGAAAATAGAAATGAAGACGAAAATCACGAAGGACTGGAGCATGAGCAACATGACGAAAACAATTCCCACGAAGAAAACGTTCTGCAGGAGAATCTTGTAGAAGATCAAGTAGGGATGGAATCAGACGTTGACAGTTATGCTGAACTTTTAATATCTTGCTTGAGGTTTTATATTTGGACTTTAGTGTTGAAATATTTGATTTAAATCTACCATCAATTCCTGATGAACTGTAAGTGTGACTGTATGTATAAAAATATTTTATTTGTAGAAATGTAGAAATGTAGAAATGCACAAACTATGGAGTTAAAATTTGTTAAAATAACTATTTAGATAGAATGTACTCTATTATGCCTGTAAAATATAAAAATTTGTAAAAATTCGAAAAATATGAAGATAAAAATACATCATATTACCATGCTAAAAACGAAACTAATTAAAATAGTGCTATTTTGATACCACGCTTAAATTGGCTTGAGGTGGGCACATCATTACGTCTGTAAAATGTAAAATTTGTGTATGTGCTAATTTTAATAAAGAATCTTTTCACTATTTGCCGAAAACTTACATTCGCAGGATAACGACAATTCCCCAACTTGATCTCACGTGATCTAGAGTTAAGCTTATCATTGGCTGAAATTGAAGTGCATTTTTCATTTTATTCGGCGAACTTTCTCGATTTTTAGTTCGTGCGTTATTGCATGGATTTGTTCAGTCGTCCATAGATCCAACACCTAAGGAATATGCAATGTACGTGTCGTTTCTTGGTGAGATTTGGGTGAGAGCATTAAGACTTTTGGTTCTTCCTTTGATTGTATCCAGCTTGCTTTTGGCAGTCGCTGAATTGAAGTCAAAACAGAGCGGAAATTTGGGAAAAAGAACATTGCTGTATTATCTTATGACTACAATGTTTGGGGAGTAATTTGTTTATTTGTATTTAACCTGGAAATGTTAACGTGAAAGAACCAGAACCGAACGAAGAAAAAGTTGAACCAATACCTTCTGTGCTTGATCTTACAAGGTTTGTGCAAAATATTCATTAATTTTCGCCCTGCTTTTGCTTTTACTGCAAAAAATTTTCTTATACGTATAACTTTTATTTCTATAATTTAACGACAATGCTTTTTACTTTTTCAATATGAACATAATAGCTCAACATAAAACATTTAAAAAAGCCATCACAATAATAAAATAAAGAAAGATTAAAGGTTTTTTTTTAATAATAACGTTTCGTCTTTAACTTAAGACATCTTCAGATTATTTGAGATGAATTATATACATGAGGTTTTAAATACAAGCATATATTACAGGGTGTTAAATTACATGTGAGGGGAGTAGGAAGTTTAGATGACGGAATGAAATGAGAATGGCGGTATATTAAAGAAGGTGAAGGGGGATTGAGTTGCCTTGGGTGTTAAGAGAGGGTTTAAGTTTCGATATAAGAAGGCTTTCATGAATCATAAGGTCATAATTGTCTGCTTTTACTTTACTAAATGAAACCTTTTTATTAGAACGTAAATGCTTCTTTCGCAAAACTGTGCAAGTGTGGAGATTTCTAAGTGTGTAGATAACCCATTCACCTTCACTATTGTGAAACAATAATAAATACATTTACGATATTAGTTGTAAATACATTTTATTATGTCATATGAACCATACCAAAGAGAGCAAAGGTAATGTTACAAGATCATAATAAGAACATCTAGATTTTAAACGGATAAGTTAATCTTAAACACAGCCTTTACAACAATGACATTGAAATATGAAAATTGCAATAAACCTTCCACACTCTACTCATCACACACTCAATTTCACATCTCTTTGAGACAGTGAGTGGAAGGTTTATTGAAATTTTTCAATTTCAAAGTCAAAAGATCTTTACTCCTTTTGAATTTTAAAACTGCTTTATATTTTGCCAAAAGTTTGCTGAGATTTTGTTTACGATTGTAACATGTGACAGCCAGGGTTATGTGTTTATTAGCATAATTATCAGTCAGCCAAGCTTTTTTGAAACCATTATGAATCAACATTAACGTCATCTGACGTCGTACATAAACTGTTCTTAAGCAAAGAGCCACTGATCTGATAATAGACAGGATATAGCTTCTACAGGTATCAAAAGTGAAGCCTAATTATATATGCAAAATTCACTTCCGGGTACCACGGCGAGATACAAATTACTATAGAAATGTATGGCGGATAACGTTTACATACATGGATTTTCGAATATTTAAGACCTTTCGCGACTCCTTACTAACCTCAAGTATTAGTCATGGATAAAACAGGTTATTTGAATCGATTTGACATCAAAATGATTCCTATAGCTGTAAAATATCGACGGCATTTATGATCTAGTATACGTTTCATTTCTTTAGAAATGAGGTGAGTTACTTTTTTTATCATTCTTTCTTTATGTTGAGAAATTGTTGACATTTTATTTTTGCTGTAACTTCATTTTTCATGAGCAAAGTACTACTGATGCTTAAACAAGACAAGTTTATTCGGTTTCTTTCGCACTTTATCTTTAGTTTCTATTTCTGTAGTTGTTTTCCTCAAATGGTATACTCGCACCTTGCTGTAACATTTAGATATGGTCTTAATGAGTGAATATGATTTTTGTGAACAGTCTCAGTAACTGCCTCAGAAATTGAAAAGCGAGCAGTGAACTATCTTGCATTGGCAACGATGGAACAAAATACATTCTTGCATGTACAACTTTTAAATCAACACTAATGTCGATATTTTACAGCTATAGGAATCATTTTGATGTCAAATAAATTTGCATAACCTGTTTTATCCATGACTAATACTTGAGGTTAGTAAGGAGTCGCGAAAGGTCTTAAATATTCGAAAATCCATGTTTGTAAACGTTATCCGCCATACATTTCTATAGTAATTTGTATCTCGCCGTGGTACCCGGAAGTGCATTTTGCATGTATAATTAGGCTTCACTTTTGCTACCTGTAGAAGCTATATCCAGTCTATTATCAGATCAGTGGCTTTACCTCATATTCATCATGTCATTTTAACCATTGAGTTCCAGTGAACTCCATATATATATATATATCTGGAATGATAACGACAATACATTTTATAGATAAAAAGTTGAAGCCAAAGTCCTAGTCTCTTGCGCGGTTTGTACGTCAGTTCCAGTCCGTCAAAGTCGAATATTCACGCGGTTTGTACGTCAGTTTCATTCCCCTGAGTGCCAAACATACACGGCCAATATAAAATTTGAATACAAATTGCGAAAGCATAAACATATAAACAACATCACTACAAACAACACACGAGGCTAATTCCTCGCAAAAGGCTATTTTTTACAGCTGAAACTTTACTGCAGTGAGCTCGTTGTAACTTATAACTTGTAACGAGGAAAAGCCAACTGAAAATTACACTGTATGCTAAAAAGACAATACAATAGAAAATATGACGAGAAAATATTCAAGCATAAATTTTTCTTTCGTCGGAAGGTAAATTTTCAAACGGTGTCAGACAGTGTTTGTCTTTTTGTCATTTCAGTGGATTTAAAGATCTTTTTCCGAAGAAAAAAAACTTGAATATCCAGTTTCATAAAAATATTGAGTCTATAACTCGCATTTTACTTTTACAGAGCGATTGTATTTTTAGTCGATTTTGATAGTGATTGAAATACTAAATGGTTGTCATCTCGATATCAAAATTGAATATCCTTAAAGACTTTGCATTTCATTTTTGACTCTGAAGATGACTACCGCTAAGGTTGTCGAAACGTCAGTCAACAACAACAAAAACAGTCCTTCTCAGGACTATACCAACCTGGACGATCTACATTTACAAACATGTAACGATACTCCCGGGTTTGAACCAAAGACTTTGATATGTTTTAAAGGAAAACCGCAGCGTAAGAGCAGATCGACTAAGTTCACCTCATCTTGCTTCTCGATTTATCACTATGATTCACTTTCCGTGAACCTTTTCATTCCAAAAATTTCGTTATTTTTACGCTCTGATCAAGATCCGAACTCTACCATTACCAAGGGACAAATGATTTAAAAAAAATTAAAATGAGCACGCGAGAGACTAGAGCCTGACGTGTGATGACGAAGGATGACAACAAATATTTTTTTGGCTTCAATTTTTGGCTTCGGTTATCATTCCAGTTATTCAAATGTCGAGTTCACTGTTGAGTTCTATAATAACTGGAGCGGCTAACTTTACTGGGGCGAGGATGCAAAAAAATGGCGGCCAAAGGACGTATTTCCGCTGAAATGATCGCTTTGCAGAAAAATAATATTCTCGACCTCCCCCTGGTGTCTATAGTAAATTATAAAGAATTTTTCAAAAACAAACACGATATCACAGAATATGGATATCGTTAGTTCCATATTCTGTGAAGATTCTTTTTTGTCATTTCTTTTATAATGCCAACACTTTAATCGTTCAATTGTTGGATGTCGTAGTTTCCACAAAAAGGAACATATCGCTTCTCACAGGTGAGGTAGTTGTTTGTTTTGTTAGTCCGTCAACGATTGAAAAGCAATTATACATGCACTTGAAAAGCCATAAAATACATATTAAAGATCGTATTTTTTAAGACTGACTTCAACGCCAAATATACTGATGTTTTCCTGTTTTTGTTTATAAAATTCTGCATACTTTTCTGTCATTTGTTAATGCATGAAATCGTAAATTTACCCATTTATTTGCAAAATAGTTTCTCTAAAGCAAAAAAGACCCTGCACACATTTTGCTCTGTGAGTAAGTATCAAAAAGAAATGATCAGCCTCAACGGTACCCATGATTTGGAGCAGAGCTTTCTATGTTCTATTTGCTGACAACATGCAGGGAAGATCAAGGAGTAAAGATGACTGGAAGATGTTATTGACCAGGCAGAGTCTTAAAAAATTATAATGCTGTAAAGATAATTGATTTATTGTCTGCCCTATCCAGAGTTATTTAAGTTGATCGTGGTCAAATTCTATGGATGGAGACAATGGATTCACTAAGGATGCCTTGAATGCTTTGAAGTTAAAGTTCATGATCCAAAGAAAGATGGCAAGAAGGTTGTGTGTGTTTTGATGCTTAATGAAATGTCAATTCACAAACATGTAAAATGGAAGGCCATAAAGTTTGTGTCTATGTAAACATTTGTACTGAGATTGATGATGACTCGATGCAGATGTGAAGCTTCAAACTGTATAAGCCATTGGGTTTTATGTAACTTAATGTTTAAATCATGTCATATCTTTATCAAAATATTTTAGTTGAGTGTTGTTTGAATGTTACTAATATCTAATGCACTATACTGAAGCATTAAAGATTCAGTGATGAAACCTTTAAAGTTACTGTACTGTATATTTCTTATATATTTCTTATATTTCTTTAAGAAAAATTTGAGCTTATTTACCTATTAGAGTACAGAATGGAGATTTATCATATGCATTATTGCTGCTTTTTTAAAGAAAAGTTTTTCACTTTTCAAAGCTTTTCTACAAATTTTTTGCTTCTTATTTCTTATGATGAGATTGATGATATAGAGGTAATATAATCCAATAACTTTCTAATTTCTAAAAAGCTTTTAAGCTTCTAGCATAAAAGTACACTATAGGTATGTAATTCATTTGGTTTTATTGCTTTGCTATGACATATCTACTTGTATGAACAAAACACCAGATGTGGATACTCTGAGAACAAAATGCACTACCAACTTCTTATGAAATTTATTATTGAGGTGAAAACTGTGTTAATCATTCAAATTATAGTGCACTTTTATTGCAAATATATAAAAACAAAACAAAGTGAAAAAGAAAGGTAGAAGTATTAAAACTACAAATGAATTATAAACACCATTGGAAGCATAAGTGTTTTGATGATTATTTGCATTTTGCCCAATTCATATATCAATACAACAAAATCAAAATGTGCTACAACTTTACAAGTATTTGTTGCAGTTGCACTTCAGAACGTCACAAAAGGTTACTTAAAGTAATTTCTATACAATATTGTTTGTTTTATTTACCAAACCTATGCAGACTTGAGTCTTTTGAAATTTCATATGAAACTCAATTACAGAAAATCCGTAAATATCCGGAGATTTAATATGTACTTTTTAAAGAAACAAGTAAAATCCTACAATTGTGGCGAAAACGCCATTGCCCATCGCATGAAAAGAAGCAAAATAGCAATGATAACAAATAAGCTAACTTCTCTCTCGTGAACCGTGGAGATGAACTATGATATACTTTTTTGTATAGACTAAAGAGTTTAATCGATCAAACAAGTTTGACGCTGGTAAGAAAACGACGCACATCTGCATTCATACATGTGTAGCCGACATATAGGTCTTTCGTCGATAGTTATAAATGCATCCTCGTAGGAGCAGATAACTGACAACCACAGTTGACTCGCTGTTATGAATTTAAGGTTTTTACCTTCATTTTCATCAAAAAATTGCTTGCCGAATCCCAAATACACACATACATTTTCCTCACTCTTTCCTCAGGAGGGAGTGGGAAATTGTGAAATTTTCGGAAAAGCGGTCAATTTCGGTAAATCTCAGCGGCAACGGACGAAATCCGCCATTTTTTTGGCGTCATCGGATATCTAAGGCCGCGCTTGAGATAGCCGCTCCAGTTATTATAGAACTCAATGATTTTAACTTTTAAATATGTTTATGTCAAGATTTCAATTGTAGAATGATTATTATATATACTACTGAACATTGTGTACAACAGACAACTGTCAATTAATGAGTTGTCAAGGTAAACGAACCTTAAGAACCAAGAATAGCATGAAGCTTTGTTTCACACCACTGTATATGACTGATCATTCTCATTGAAATGCATCAAATTGCAATATTGCTACATAAACACAATGAGGATCAACATTTTGATGTTCACGAAAACAAGATTTAATTATTTATAGATGTCCCAAATGTGCACAGCAATGTAATTATATCTTACAATACCTGTGCCAGGCTTAAATATCATACAATCATAAATAATCTTTGAAAATTTCACTGTTTGATTGTAAACTGTTTTCTTTAAGATAAATCCCATTTCACCACCAACCTATGTTGTCATGACAACAACAATGAATCGAGAAGAAGGTTTGAAAGCTTTGGAAACATCTGTCAAAGACATTAAAGAAGTCATTATGAACAAGAAAGGAACATTTGTTTTACAACAAGCTGTAAGTGTTTGGTTTATATTTCTATGAAAAGTATATTGTATCACTAAAATGACATCCCCATGGTGCCTCTACTATCCTCATATCATCCTGTTACCATTTCCCTAAGTACCCCATGCTGTATTAAGATGGACATATTCAATCATTAGTCGTTTATTTGAAAATTACAATGACACCATCCCAATGCATTGAAATCAATAATATTAGGATCTTGTGACATTGGCAATAATTTATGTTAACTGTCCACAAAATTAGTTTTTCCTAAAGCTAATTATGCATTGTGATATCATAACAATGTCTTTTGCATATTGAAGAAAAGTTATGTGTCTCAAAACAAAATAAAATAACAAAGCACATGTTCACATCATTTACACAATGTCTGTCTCATGTTTGCTTTCTCTGACTGTGTAACTATTATCAGAAGGACATCACTTGAGTCCATTGGACATTTTGCACACCTGTATGATGTATCAAAGATTTGAAATTATACAACTGACGTATGTTTAATGAGCTGCTGTTTTTTTTGCAGCATCAGAGAAAAAAATAAAACAAGCAGAGTTTGTCATGTTCTTATTCGAATAGTACTTTATGTTTAACTTAGGAGCTAAACATGTTTCATACAAAATGTTTTATGGTTTTTGATTGGTTATATGAAATGATCTTTAATATGTATTACATATAATTGAACAACTGTTTTTCTATTGTGTCTGTTGACATAAAATTATCAGTTTTAACAGAAATATGCATTCATAGAGATCAGAAATGTAAAAATCTTAAAATGATTTAAACTTATTCACAAAAGAGTTCATTATTATATTTTATTATTATAACTAACATTTTTATTTGACTTGATGGGATACTCTAGGAAGCACGGCAAATCTTCGGCTCGTGGTCGATGGTAGTTATCGGAATTAGCGGGAAAAACTACGTCAGAGGTCTGGTACCGACAGAGAGACGCGATTCTTGTCATTTCATTCTGGATAGTACGCCGTCCATAGAAGCTCCTCAGTTCGTAGATATATAAAAATTGCCAAATACCAGCTGTTATCCTTCTGTAAAAGTAAGTAAACATTTTTAGTTAACGTTAGAATGGAGTTTTGTAAATTTTGATGAATTCAGACAACAATATTTGTCGTCGTTTCCAAAATGAAAGCGAAACCAATGAAAAATGTATTTGTAATTGCAACTATGTTCAACGCATTTGGGTATAATTGTGACAGTTTTTATCGTACAAAGAAAATTGTGCCGGGCTTTCGTCAATAGCTTCAAATATCTATTCTTTTGACCGGTTTTATGCGCCGTATCCAGGTATCAAAACGTTGACGACCTAACATCTATGTACTTATTATGAACGTGAAAATATTTAAACCAGTTATAACCAGGAGGCGTCAATTTCCTGAACACTTAACTCTTTAAACATCGAAACATGTTTTATAATATTTAAGTCACGCTTAAGTGAGAATCGTGTGATAACTTTTGACGTATGTATTGGCTCTTTTGTTTTGATTGTAACAAATCTTTTGCGCACAAAGGCATATAGAGTTCCCGTGAGTGAAAATAATTTAGTGTAAAATTATCGTGTTGAAACTTTCAAAGTCATTATTATGGATCAAAAATTACTTTGTAGCTTGTTTTTTAATACATTCTGAATCTTTGAAAATAATTAATTCATTCTTTGGTATTTGATTATAAATGATGTAGCCACATAGCACAAGTGTTTATCACTTCCTCATAACTGTGGTTCATTGGAGCATGTTACATTTGATTTAACTTTTCCGTTTGATATTTTGAAGTTTTTGCAATAGTTGAAATGTTTATCGTAAGTCACGATCAAATTTACTTATTCGTTGGATGAAAAACTATCTCAACAAAAATTTCAATTACATGAGGCAAAGTTACGCAAAATAACGTTTCCCACAACGGAAGTTTCATGTTTGTACTAAAATATGCACATCACTAAAATATATACTTTTCCGCTAGATTTAATGTCGTGAAACCTTCGTATTGCGATTCCTTCATAAGCTTTGAAGGAATTTTAATGCAAATAAATAAACGTTTACAACTGTAGCCATTGTGAATGTATCGACGTTCTCGCTTTAATTATTTAAAGGTTTCTAATTAATGTTATTCATTTTTTCTGGGTTATTTTTGTAAGAGTATCTATGATAAAATAAAGATATGATCTTATAAACATAAGTTAGAAAACATTCTTTCATAAGTATCTACGATGTTCTTTAGAATGCCTCCGTGTTTATCAAAATCAATAATGAGAGACGTCTACACCATTTATCCACAAAAGAATAATGCTGTACCACAATACAACCAAACGATCACTGCTATGTTCCAAAAAAGACCTGAGCGAAGTCCTTTCGCTAGACCTGATATGTACGATATTGTGAGCTTGCTTTACATTTCGAATGAGTTGGTTGAAAAAGAGATGATGAAAAGTGAAGGAGAAAATGCACTCTCGTTTATTCTGTCTCATCTTGATGACCAATCAATGACAGTTTTACTTGGAACCTACATTAAGAAATTTTCAAATGTACTATATTTACGAATGACGCCTTTCCTCTTTTCCATACAATGAAAACTACCTAAACGGTTGGTTTACGCAGAATTTTCACATTGTAATGATGCAGAGGGCAAAACTAATCAAGATGTAAAGATTTTAATGCAAGTAACAAAGATGAAGCAATTAAATATATCATCCAGTTTGAAGAAAGAAGAAGAATGAAATACTGAGTTATATTTCCATGGCACTGATCATTCGTCTGCTCAGAATATTCTTGAGAATGGCATTAAATTAGGTAAAGGTGGTGAAAAGTGTGACTTGTCGCATAAGTATGGTTTCTACATGGCAAATGATTATGAATACTCGTTAACGCAATATTCTAATATAACAGAAGCAGCCCTTCTCATTTTTTGTTTACGCCCAAATAATTTGAAAAGTTTCCAAGAATTGTATTTATGTGGTAAGAGCAATCAACAAGACTTTGTTTCAGTTACTCCTTACTTTAGGGCTGGAAAGATAAGCTGTAAAGGTTCCATGAGCAGGGAACTATTTTCGGCATTAGAAGTGCGATTATATCAAAAGTCCAATTTCATGCGATGTTCGTTCAGCAGGTGACCAAAGGAAAGATATTCTGCAGGTTTGTGTAAAGAAACACAAAATGGCTGAGACAATGAGCAATAGACAAGACTTTCTTTCAGTTACTCCATACTTTACGGCTGGAAGGATAGACTGTAAAGGTTCCATGAGCAGGAAACTATTTTCTGAATTACAGAAGTGCGATTATATCAAAAGTCCAATTACAAGTGATGGTCATTCAGCAGATGACCAAAGGAAGATATTCTGCAGGTTTGTGTGAAGAAACACAAAATGGCTGAGACAATGAGCGGTTCTCCATTATTGGTGGGTGCAGTCTTTATAAAGCCTGATTCTGAAGAGAACAATTCGTTGTTGGGTTTTGATTCATTTGTATATTGAAAACAACATTTTGAATCTGATGCTTAGCAATGGCCTGTTCATGTGTATTTAACTTCTTCAACTGGGAGGCAACAAGCATTCCAAATAAATCATTTTAATCTTTTTCCACATTTTTTTTGTTTTGATGCTTAATTGTTTTCTGCATTGTACGAAGAAACTGTATTTCTTCTTGCTCAACATCAACTTTTGTCTTTGACCACTTTTTATGTCCAGTTGTATCAGATATATCAGTAATCTTATCATCAAATACTTCATCTGGCTTTATTCGTTGACAGCCATTGTCTTCATTTAGTAAGCTGACATGCTCAATTTCATCATTGGTTAACAAACTACAATTACTTGTCGAGCCGCTGCCGGTATTTGATACTGACAAATTAGTTTTGTTGCTCCAGACTTTATGTATGGTACTAACCACTGTAGAAAATTATAGTCCTTCAATTTTGTTTTAGAGGAAACAACAGCTGACAGAGATGTTCCAGATTTAGTTACTTTTTTAAAGTTATTTCTTTGCTTGCTGAATCTTTTTTTTAAATTTTCAAACAATTTTTTGGCTCGCTCACCAATTATTAAAGTAAATGGTTTGAACCCGGGAGTATCGTTACATGTTTGTAAATGTAGATCGTCAAAGTTGGTATAGTCCTGAGAAGGACTGTTTTTGTTGTTGTTGACTGACGCTTCGACAACCTTAGCGGTAGTCATCTTCAGAGTCAAATGAAAATTGTTTTACGTTCGAATAGATTCAGATTTTCTGCCACTTTTGCCCAAGCATTTGCCACGCCAAACTTGTCTTTATAATCTTTATATGTTTTATCATATAAGCAGGGAATCTTACGCACTTTCTCGGCCAATTTTCTGGGTTAAGTGATTGAGCACATGTTGAATCCGCCATTTTATACTCCAAAATTTTCATTCAAGATGACGTCATTTTGGCGATTAACGCGAATAAATATCAAAAATTATATCGCGGTTGTTAGTCTACGTTTATTGCGATTATTACCACGTTCCCATATGGGATTATCGCGTTTAAAGTTAATCGCTGTCGCGTTTTCGCGTTAAGCCTATAGTGGAACCAGGCTTTATAGATCAAAGGTCTCGACCAATGAAATTGCTCAAGTTCTTCTGGTGATTATATAATTATATATAGTCAACGGCGCGGTATATTTATAGTCTTTGTTATTGTGAATTGTGAAATTGGGAGTTGAGAGAATTTGATTTGAATTGTATTCAAAGCTTCAAATTTTCAACAATGACTTCACGAAAGCGTTGCTACAATGGATTAAAACATGCAAAACAACATATGATATTATTTTTCATTTTATTCGGCGTACTTTGTGGATTTTTTACTTGGTTCTTTATTGCATGGCAATGTTCAGTCGTCCATAGATCCAACACCGAAGGAATATGCAATGTACGTGTCTTTTCTTGGTGAGATTTGGGTGAGAGCTAGACTTTTGGTTCTTCCTTTGATTGTATCCAGCCTGCTTTTGGTAGTCGCTGAACTGGAGTCAAAACAGAGCGGAAAATTGGGAAGAAGAACATTGCTGTATTATCTTATGACTACAATGTTTGGGAAGTAATTTGTTTATTTGCATTTAACCTGGAAATGTTAACGTGAAAGAACCAGAACCGAACGAAGAAAACGTTGAAGCAATACATTCTGTGCTTGATCTAACAAGGTTTGTGCAAAATATTGATAAATTTACTGAGTTTGCGCCCTTCTTTTGCTTTAACTGCGAAAATTTTCAAATGCGTGTAAGTTATATTTCTATCAGTTAACGACAATGCTTTTTATTTTTTTTGAAAGCAACTTTATTTACTATAACGTAAATGCTACGTTCGCAAAACTGTGCAAGTGTACGAGATTTTCGAGCGCATACGGTAATCGCGTTATCGCAATACTCACTTGATTCTTAATCTTCTATTTGTGACAAACTTGCCTTAAGTACAAGAGGTGGCTATAACTTTTTATACATTATTATATTCATATTTGACACTTTTTTATTATGCCATACGAAGCACAACTACCAAAGTGATCAACGCCACAAGATCATAATGCTATGTTATAGAATACCTGTCCACTCATTATCTACTTATATAATATGCCTTGTTCTTTATACTTTGTTCTTTATTTTGACCTTTAAATGACACTAAATGATACTTGATAAATAATAATTGAGAACTAAACGATATTTTAGTTTAGTGATAAACACCACAAGATCGTAATGCTATGTTATAGAATACCTGTCCACTCACTATCTACTTATATAATATGACTTGTTCTTTATACTTTGTTCTTTATTTTGACCATTAAATGACACTAAATGTTACTTGATGAATAATAATTGAGAACTAAACAATATTTTAGTTCAACTTAAGCCTGTAAGGGTGCCTTTAAAAACGGACGGGTATTCTTTTATCGCTCCGAGATTTTAAATGGATAAGTTAATCTGAAACATAGCCTTTACAACAATGACATTGAAATATGAAAATTGCAATAAACCTTCCACACTCTACTCATCACACACTCAATTTCACATCTCTTTGAGACAGTGAGTGGAAGGTTTATTGAAATTTTTAAATTTCAAAGTCATTGTTCTAAAGGCTATGTTTCAGAATAACTTATCCATTTCAAATCGTTTTATTTCATAGCTTTTAACCTTTTAATAACGGATCATTGTCAAGTGTTGATTGCTACCATTGGATCGTTTCATTCCTAATTATATAATAACCAGAAGAATTTGAGCAATTTCATTTGTCGAGAGCTGTGATCTATAAGAGGACATATGCAGGGAATTGTCGTCACTTTCACTGATATAGTAAAAGTTGAATAAAAATAACCTTGTGGAAGGCCTGAATAACATAAAACGATGAATTGTCTTTTGACAATTTCAGGGTGTGTTTGAAAACTGTTTTGTTCTTCTATGTTGTCAGGAACAACTACAATGAATCAAGAAGAAGGTTTAAAAGCTTTGGAAACATCTATCAAAGCCATTGAAGAAGTCATTATGAACAAGAAAGGAACATTTGTTTTACAACAAGCTGTAAGTGTTTGGTTTATATTTCTATGAAAAGTATATTGTATCACTAAAATGACATCCCCCTGGTACCTCTACTGTCCTCATATCATCCTGTTACCATTTCCCTAAGTACCCCATGCTGTATTAAGACGGACATATTCAATCATTAGTCGTTTATTTGAAAATTACAATGACACCATCCCAATGCATTGAAATCAATAATATTAGGACCCTGTGACATTGGCAATAATTTATGTTAACTGTCCACAAAAATTAGTTTTTCCTAAAGCTAATATTGCATTGTGATAACCAGTGTGCGAATTAGTTTAGAAAAAACGATGTTCAATTTTTTTTGACAAAAGTGTTTGTTTAGAGGCATAACCAAATCGATATTACGTTCATTACTATACGTAGTGCTAATTGCTAAATTAATATTTTTGAGCATGAACAAATTCATATGATTTACGACAGTGTTTTTCTTTACAACCGCTGATCCAGTTACAAATGTACGAGAGAAATTTTTTGCGCATGTTATTCTCTCCTCTTTTTTGTGCAATCTTTACAGCACAATGAATTCACCACTTGGCCATCATCCTAGCACTCAAACTAGTCAGCATTTGATGTTTCCATCCATTTTTTTACTGTACTAACTTTGCTGGTAGCTACAACCTTTCGACGAAGATGGCAAGAAAGACAAAAGTGAAAAGAAAATGACCGAATATACTTTTGCTTTCTGATTATTAACAGTAACATCCTTGATGTTTACTTACGATAAAAAACATCATATTTATGTCATATTACAAACAATATGTAAAAGCAAAAAGTATGGCTAATTAAGGTCGCCAGTTTGGCTTAATGTTTTGAGCCAAATTTGGCTTCTTTTTCTCTTGTTAGGCTTATTTAAAATCAATGATATCACCAGTGTGTGAATTAACGGTGTGCAATGTGCAATTTGCACTTCGTTTTAGTTAAAATGAAAACAATTGCACATCACTTTTTCAGACGATGTGCAAAAAACTTCTTTATTGATTACTACCACATAAATTGAACAAAGTGTTCAAGCTTAAACATTACTGATCTTTACTTTATAAACGAGTGCGCTGCACGACATTAAAATCCATGTTGACACAATGTCATCAAATTCAAAAACGTTGTCATTTTAAGACTGGGAAGTCTGTCAACAGTCAACATACATGGTGCTACGACATTAGGGGTGTAATACATTATTAATGTCAATTTTTGCATTTGCGTTGTTTTGTAAACCGTTAAGTACTGTTTTTGGCATCATAGCTATTTTGAGTATTTTCAGTAATATCAGGAAATATTTTGATTTTGATTCTTGAAAGAAGACAAAAAAAAACTTAAATAAGCCAAATTTTAAAAATAAACCAAAAAGAATTTTGATTTTAAATAAGCCTAACGTGAGAAAAACATTAATGGCTCAAAACATTAAGCCAAACTGGCAACCTTGATCACCCATACTTTTTGCTTTTACATATTGTTTGTAATATGACATAAATATGATGTTTTTTATCGTAAGTAAACATCAAGGATGTTACTGTTAATAATCAGAAAGCAAAAGTATATTTGGTTATTCTCTTTTCACTTTTGTCTTTCTTGTCATTTTCGTCGAAAGGTTGTAGCTACCAGCAAAGTTAATACAGTGAAAAAAATGGTTGGAATTATCAAATGCTGACTCGTTTAATTACTAGGATGATGGCGAAGTGGGGAATTTATTGTGCTGTAAAGTTTGCACAAAAAAAGAGGAGAGAATACATGCGAAAAAAATTTCTGTCATACATTTGTAACTGGATCAGCGGTTGTAACGAAAAACACTGTCGTAAATCATATGAATTTGTTCACGTTTAAAAATATTAATTTAGCAATTAGCGCTATATAATAATTAACGTAATATGCATCTAAAGAAACACTTTTGTCAAAAAAAATTGCACATCGTTTTTTCTGAACTAATTCGAACCCTGGCTGTATCACTAAACTGACATCCTCTACTATCCTCGTATCATCCTGTTACCACTTCCCTAAGTACCATGCTGTATTAAAAATGGGACATTATCAAAGTTCAAGTATGACTTCATCAACAGTCGTTTATTTGTGAATTACAATAGACATGTTTCGACATCTCATGATGCCATCTTCAGTATAAGTGAAATAATAAATAATGCAAGGTTTATATAAAAGTAATATGATACATAAATTACAACAATAAAAAGGAAATAAGATAAATTAATGGGGAGCGTCCGAGCGTATTATAAACTAAATATTGTATTGAATTTAAAAACTTGAACATTGAGGTCAGGGTTAGTTTTGTTAATGTGGAGTGCTTCTTTGATTTTAAGGGAGAATGAGGTTTCGGCAGTGTCGATGATTTTGAAGAAACAGGGTGAATAGTTGGTTTTACATGAGTGAGATTTAAGGTGTCGGTAGATATGAGAGTTTTTGTCTGTTGTGGTATGTTCCCTGATTCTGGTGGATAAATGGCGCGAAGTTTCGCCAATGTATCGGGAATTACATCCCGCGCAATTGAATTCATATACCACCATAGATTTAATTGAATCAGGGATTGGGTCTTTGAATGAGAAAAGGTTTTTGATTTTGAATGATGTGAAAATTAGTCGAATGTCAATATCTGTACAGAAGCGTTTCATAATGTTTGTAAGTCTGCGTTGTGTGTGTCGTGAGTAATGTCCGATGTAGGGTAGTTTGAAGTATAGAGTTGTTATTTTGGAATTTTCATTTGTGTTGGTCGTGATTGTCGTGTCAGGAGTTTCGGTGTCTAGTTTGAGGTTGTTGCTTTGTTTGTTGTCGAGATATCGTTTTACGGTTCTGTTAATAAAGTGTAGTGGGAAAGAGTTTAGTAAAAGAGTGGATGTGATTTTTTTTTATGTCTCGTTAAAAGCCATTGTTTGTATTGTTAAGTTTGTATGCTCTGTCGATTAGTGTGCGATAAATTGGCACTTTACAAGTCGATTGTTGACTTAAACCTTCACTTTACCCACAGATTTTTAACCTTGATCATTACTGACCAAGAGCTTAGCAATCTACTTTTGTGTTTATTTTGTCAGTTCTTCTCATTATGTCAGATACATGACAATCAAGGTTAGGGGTTGAAATGTACTTGTAAATCTTATTGCCATGCCTTTGCATTCATGCAAAAAATTTGTTGATTTCAAATGATAAATTTAAGCTATAAATTACTATCATTGATTATCATTTTTATCTGTTCAACCAAAGGTTGTCACAGATATGGATGAAGCAAATTTTGCAAAGGAACTAGAAAAACTTGAACATCAAAATGCAGAAGTCGATGGTGATGATGATTATCCTGATGATGAACAAGAACAAGATGAATCATAAATGATTGTGGTTTGTTTTAAAACTTGCTGTGTTTTATTTTTATCATTCACGACCTGCGGTTGCCTTGAACAACAATTAGTTTAACTTTAAACTCCATTCAAACCCTATACATTACAAACATCAATTATTTTCTTTTGACGATTCAAAATAGATATTTCATTGTCAGTATTTCGCGAGGCAGTTTTTGAAGGTCCCCTGTTCGGATTAAACTGCCGCTCTGAGTATGCTGTTTGTGATGAATAGGACATTCGTCATCGTGAAACTATTGTAAATGCCAAGTCGTTGAAATGAAAGCATATTTAGAAAGGAGATCATTAAATTACATATTGCTAACAATTTCCTACGGCGAAAATTTTCCTTGAAATTTTTAAGTTAAAAGTCACTTGAATCATAATTGATCCAAGATGCAAAATATCTTATTAAAATTGGTTATGAATTATGACTGTCGATGCTATAGTCTGTCGCTTTCCATTGTCTGACCCTGAGTTTAAATTTCATGTTAACTTAATCTCGACGTTCACCTTTGCCGTTTATCAGAAGTTATACAGTCAGTGAAGTTCGTTGAAAAATTCTGTTACTCCTTTCTAACTTTATATATCATCAAATGAAATCGAGAAATTTCAAACGCGGAAGTTTATCATGACGTTAACTGTATTAAAAAGTACAAATGCTCACAAAATGACAAAAACTTTATGATTATGTCGACATTGCGAATGGAGAAAACAATAACATAAAGGAAAATATGGCTAGTTTTATGAAACAATGATGTATCGTATCGTATCGCACATGTATTTCGTTTCGTACATTTACGTATGATGTCATCATGCGTTCGACCCTTTTTTAGGATTTTCATTGGTTTGATAATTCCTCGAGATTTTGATTGGTTGGGGAAAACTTTTGTACTTCCGGCGAAAGGTGACACGATGTGACGAGTAGTGCTTAGTCCTCCATAAGTCGGGACGTGTGGTTAGCGGTGCAACGTACCTACCAACGTACTAACACAGAGGCAAGTGATTCTTATTATCTCAGATCTATCTCAATTTTCAAAGCGTGCAAACGAGACTTTTAACTTGATTTGTACATTTTTACCTTCGTGGCTAACTTGGCTTCAGTAAAAAAGGTTGGTGTGAGAGTTACGATTTACATTTACTAATTTCAGTGTCGTTTATAGCTTTCATGTTTTGCTCCACCATCGTCAAATCATCTCACTAATAATTTAAGTTTATTATTATTATACATGGTGTATCATACAGAATGTTTGAAATTTCTTGTTTATTTACCATTAAGCAAAAGGTTGGGTTATAATTTCTGCATAAATTTACAATGCTCCAAAAATTATGAATAAATGTCAGATTTTCAAACTATCTAACGCGTAATAACTGGTTAACTGCTTCAAATAATGATATAGTTGAACTAGAAACGACAGTAAACTCTGACTCAGCCAAGCGTTTTTCCGGGAGCTTCTTGCATAATTATCACTTCAGGACCTAAAGCAACCGAAGGCTTACTATAAACAGTTAAATGAAAAGAAAAAAAGTTACATGAAAAGCACGACGTTTGAACCGTGCTTAAGCGAAAATCGCTGATCTTTTCTTGTTACCTTTTCAAGTCAATAAGAACGAGTTAAGACGACAGTTCTTTTGAATAAA